ATAATAAATGCATAAAAAAGAAAACCAGGACAAGTGTGATAAACATTTGCATTCATTTTGCCAGCAGTTGTACGTTGCAATTGTAAATATTTGTATGTGCAACTGCAATAATTAACACCCACATTTTAGTTCCATTAAAATATAAAGTACAAAGTTTTCATGCCTCGTTTGAAAGCAACCAAGAAGAAGAAAACGTGCATTTTTTACTTACAACTTTTTATTAATTCCGATAACGAGCTTGAAGGCATGATTTGAGTTTTTATTTGCGGTCATGAAAGCCACACAGACATTTGAAATGAAATCGCGAAATAGAATTGGAAGGAAATAAGCGATGCAAGATTTACCCAAGAAAAATCAATTAAATGCACTAAAAAATTTTTTTTGTGGATTTCCTATTGCTGCAAATTTTTTCTATTGTAAACGATTCTGCTACCAATCGTCAGTCACACGGAAATGTTATTTTGAGTGGTGAGTTTGAAAGTTCATTGAAGGAGGGGAAGCTTTTAGAATATTGGGAATTAAAAAATGGATAGGATGCATGATGTTTAACCAAAAAATTAAGGATTCGATGCTATAAGTTTATATCAAAACTTTTGAGACTTGATAAAGTGACTACACATGACTGCAGTCAGTTATAATCGATTATTCCTTCAGTTTGCTTCATAATTGAATTTTTCTAGCAAGCGCAAGCTAGTTGATTCGATTGCAATTGGGCGTTGGCAAATATTTTTCCAATGAAAACTTTTTAATTATTTTCTTGCTTTTGATCATTCAAATGCCATAAATGACATGATTCTTAAATTTGAGTACATTATTAGTTTCATCGAGTTTTTTCTTACCATGGTTCAAAAATCAAGAGCATACAATTTTCTAGCAATTAAAAAAAATATTATTGAACCCTCATGATCCAATGATCCGACAAATTCCAATCTAGTTCCACAAAGGGGAAATAAATTCTCTTGCAAATCTTTAAAACATTTTATTCCTGTTTTGAATCAAAGCAAAAAAATTTTTTTTCAAAGCATAGAAACTTTTTTTTCTCCAATTGCTTGTTCTATATTTTTTTATTTCTTCTACTACTCTTTTTAATTAAAATTCATGTCTGTCTATAAATAACATACAGCGAGAGAGATGAGATGCGAAAAAAATAATTTTCATCATACATAGGATAAAAAAAGCTCCCTTACTCTGTGTATCCAACATTTAACTATATGTATGACGCTTCCTTATGCTTTATGCTATATAGATGTATATACATGAATAGATTTTGAGCTTCATTCGTAGCGCAATCGCAATATGCAACTAAAAATTGCAGCACTATAATTGTTGTTGCACTTTATATAGAAATCACATCTCATGTATGTATACATGCTATATTATGTATTATTTCCTTTGTTCTTGCCAGTGAGACTAAGCAGGAATGAAAAATTTTCTCCTTCTTTCTTGTCTGACTAGCGAGATTGTAAGGATCTCTATTTAATTCTCCATTTACAACAATTTATTGTTATTAATAAAAGTAATAGGAAGTAAAAAAAAAATCTTTAGAATTTGTACTTACATTAGTAATTAGCAGCAATCTCTCACGTTATTATGATGAGTGATGCAATGCAACTTCCGTTTGTGCGGTAATTTTCAGCTTTTTTTTATTATATTTCAAACACGGAAAATTTTCCTCTCTTTCTTTTTCAATAATCGAGTAAAAATTTTGAAAAGTGAATGTTGAAATGAAAGCAAATGAGGACAAAGAGATTTTTCATGATGAAATTGCTTTTTGCAGACGCAGTTTTGAGGTTGATGCACTTATAGGCTTATGTTCATGAAGTTGTGTGTGAAAATAATAAAAATATTTTCTTAAATGAAACAACAACCTCGATTTTAGTAAAATAAAATTAAATTCAGCAACAATAATTTTTTTTTCAAGTTTCAACGGTTTTTTGGAATTTGAAAATTGAAAATCATAAATTTTTCCACTTCAAAAAGTATTTTCTCAATAATCAGCATTTATTCTAAGATTATCATACACAATTGAATGGAAATCTAGCTTAAAATGTGGCAGTAATCATTTTACATTCCCAGAAGTAAGCAAAAACTTCCTCACAGACAAAATGCAATTGAAAATTTTCCACTCATAATGAGCACATGCGAGAGAAAAGTTGGGAGTGGTAGGAGAAAAATGAGGCGACGAGACGATGAAAATTTTCTCAATAGACACTGCATTATGTACAGTAGGAATAATAACGATGATGATGATTATGTAACATTACACGGTGTACATTCAAGTTGCATTGAAATGCACTTTGGAAAATTTTCTCGCGAATATATGTTGAAAATAAAGAGTGCATTGGATGAATAGAAGAAGAAGAAAGAGGTTTGAAAGTTAACACTTGAGACACAAAGAAGAGCGAGTGAAATAAAATGAAAATAAAAAAATCGTATGGAAATATTTTTTTTTTCGTTTGTTACTTTTCATTTAGAAAAGGTGGAAAATTGCTTTTCTTTTCAGTCTGATGGATTTTCTCAATTGCTTCCATCATTCATGATTTCTTCATTTCGCCAGTACATTTTTTTTGTGTCTTTCCGTTGATTTTTTTTTTATTTCATTCTCCTCGCTCAGTCTTTGTGCAATTGCAAATCATCGCACAATTGTGTTGGTGTGCAATTGCATCCATTTTATGATCGCTTAGTTGGAATTTTTTTTCCTCCTTTTGCATTATTTCGTACTTTTGCCGTCGCGTTGCTTTCAATACGAAATGAATTTTGCTTCTGATTTTTGGCTGTTTAGTAAAAATTTTATTTTAGTCACCCGTAATTGCACATTTTAATTGCACACATAGTCATGTATATAATAAAATGTTTGAGTTGATTGTCTTTTATCACTCCATATACTTGTTTTCTTATTTTCCTTCTTCTTTGTCTATTCATTTATATAAAAATGTTTATATATGAAATTTAATTCTTCTTTAATCAAATACGAAATGCAGTGCACACATGAAAATGATAAATGAATTCTCTGGCTTGTGTGATAAGGTTCCGTTCACCTTTTTCTTTGTCGATTGACTCAAAAAATGCTGCTGCAATTATGAACAGACTCCTTTATGATGATTTTGGAGAAATTATTATTTTTAAGGACTTGAGATGATTTGCAGGTTTAATTAAACAACTTTTCGTGAATTAGAATTTTTTTGATATTTTAATAAATTTAAAATTTTAAAGTTTAATATTTTTTTAATTTATTAATTGTCATACCTTTTTCATCAGGACTTATAGAAAATAAATCGATTCAATGAATGTATAGCTAATCTTAATTTAAAAATATAGCTCAATACTCAATGAAATTTCATAGAAATTCAACTAATATGTTTAAGATTCCAAAAAAAAGTAGAAAATTATTAGAAAAAAAGGAAAAATCAAAAATATCAAAAAATTAAATCCTTAAAGAATTTAAACTTAAATTTTTTAATTTGCGAGATAAATTAAATGATTTTTGTAAAAATGGAAAACGTTTTAAAAATACTTTTTAATTAAACCATCAAACCAGACAGAATTCAGATATTTGAAACTTAAATTCAAAATTTAAACCCAAAAAAAATGAAATAAAAATTAAAAACCACAAAAAGTCGAAATTACCCACAAGAATGCACCCAAAGAACGAAATCATAAAACTGATAGCAGCGGACCAAAAAAAGAAGGCACTTTGGTGATAAAATTACAAAGAAACTTTGAAATTGAATCATGAATAAAATGGAAATCATAAACAAAAAATATCACAAATTTGCACATTCTTCAACGTTCATTTCTATATATTTTTATACATTTTTCGCGATTATCGTCACCACACGAGGATTATTTTTCATACAGCAAAGAAATATTCACTTTTTGTGTGCAACAGAAGAAAAAAAAAATTTGTAAAGTCACTTTTTCTTCAACAGAAATAAAAAAAATTTATACTTCAACAAAAATTTGATTTCTGCACCGAATGCATTTTTGCAAGAGCACTCATTGCAATTCAAAAACTAACTGAAAGAGCACGCGAAAGAGCATTTTCGTAGTCAAGCTGATTCGTGTGTTGGTGCAATTTCTTTTTAAAATAAAAAAACTTTTTTATATATTTATTTTGAACCGGTTCATACATATGCGAAAACTTCGTACAATTCTCGTATATCGTGCGGTTCTCAAATGCAATATTTTCGATGCGATTGAAAGTTGAAATTGCTTGCATGTGTTTGTGCGAATATTTATTGAGCTTTGCGAAAATTTTATTTTTGTTTTAAAAGCGACTTTAAAGGTTGCATTTGCGTTGTATAGATGGAGCTGGTTGCAATGACTTTATTGTGCAATTATTTTATTGTAGCCATAAATATCAGGCATGTCACTATTACGATAAATTTTGTTCAATCTTTAGTCCAATTCAAGAATGACTTCTATTTTCTTAGGTATATCATCTTGCTTTCCATTTATCGGATGAATTTTTTTCAGTTCTTTTAATGTTTTACTAATGACTGTATAAACAGTAAAGTTCCTTTCTTTCAATTCCTAAATGAAATTTGAAAGTGATCTCCTTGGTTCACTTTTCATAAATTCAAACCATTTACTTTAATAGCAGGTGTGGATATGGCTCGAAGAGCATCTGTAGTAGATAGGCCTGAGCATAGGACTCGCGTTGAACTGGTTCTTATCAAACCCGACTTTTTTAAATTATTATACAGATATGGCAGTTAAAGGGAGATCTACAGCAGGTCCGAAAAATCAGTCAGAAAAAAACAAAGTGAATTATTGTGAGATTCCAAAAAAACATGCTGTTACTATTACGTTTAATGTTGGTGTTTGAATTCCTTCACCAACAATTCTTGTCATCAAAAGCAAGGATAAGCTTCAAATGTCTTACTCATTATTCTGCAGGTAAAATCTATTTAAAAATTTTAATGATAACTCCTTAAATTTTAATTTCTAGTAAAACATATCATTTCGACATCCTATTTATTAAAACTTTCTTTTGATTACTTTAATTAATTTACAATAATGGATTTAAATGTATGTATATGAAAATCGAGTATGATGAAATTAATGATTAAAGTAGAAATTATTTTTTTTTTGAGAAAATTTCCAATTTTAAACTTTTTTTGTATTTTACAAAAATATTTTAACAAATTTCTATTAAAAATCTTAAAGTGCCAATGCATAACGAAGTCTTTGTATTAACAATATACCAGAAAGTCTCTTGTAATTTGATTGACATAAGTATGGATAACTATGTTTAAGGTTTGGATCTAATGTTTTTCTAAAATTTCTGCACTTCCATCCATACCCATGTTTCAACTTCTACAAAACAATTCCCATTTAATACAGTCTATGTGTTTAAAATACATTATGGAATTAATATCAATTATCATTCAAATTATTATGCAAACATGTGTTAATCAAATTTTGGCAATAACAGCTTTTTTGTATGTGATTCTATTGATAGAATAATAACAACATTTTCATCAAACTTATTGTCATGGATAGATGTGTATGTGCGTGATATTATAATTAAATTCTGATAAATTGTTGATGTGTTTAGTGGATTTTCTTCAAAATAAATAAGGATATAGTAAATTGCTTTGGCTTTGGAATCAAAGAAGGGAATCTTGTAGTATTTAAAAAAAAATATTAAAATTTAAATTTTGAATTTATTTCATCTAAAGTTTCAAATTTTTCCAAAAGATCAAATTTTTGAAACAATTACGAATCAAAAACCGTTGCCATCAATACCAAAAATTCCAACTCTGTGTCCAGAACCAAAGTAAGTTTGTTGTAGATTCGTAACATTCATTTATGCCTATGTTAATGTATGTTATTATACTAAAAGTGTTCAAAATTCAATCATTTATTGCTGATTACATCTTTCCTTTTGTTTCTTCCTCTTATCATTGTTTGCTGTTCGTCGTGTTCCTTGTATCGGCATGTATGGTGCTGTTGATGGTTCATCACCATTATTCTCACAATATTCCAAAATATCAGGCGGTGTTGGTTTCACTATGGGAACAATATTTTGTGGAATTTTCGGTGGCGATGGTGTGGCATAAGTTGGATCAATCATTGTGGCAATATTTTGATCCTCTGGCAAATGAGCTCTCGGAGCTTGTGGACGATTAATTTGTCCTCGTATTTCCAAATGATTTGGACGTTGAGCAGCTCTTTGAAGGAGTGGTGGTGGAACCATGTCAACTGGATTAGAATAAGAATCATCATTTGAGCTTTGATGAGCATGATTGTAGCCACTTCCTCCAGAACTTTGAGAATTATAGCTGCTTTGCTTCTGATGTAAAAATTGTGGATTTTGCTGTTGATGTTGTTGACTATCTGGTGAGTGTTGGTAGCGGTGACTATAATTCGGATCATTTGCTTGGAGCATATCAACTGGATTCGAGTAACTGTCTCCATCCAGATCTTGTGGGTCTATAGGCTGTCCATTTTGTTGCTGCTGCTGTTGTTTCATCAACTCTCGTTTTTGTCTTGCGCGCTCTTTTGCACGCTTTGCTTTAGCCTTCTCACGTTCCTGTAGCATCTTTGCAAGTTCCTTGTCTTGTGCCTCAATTGCTAATTTTCTGTCCAATTCTTCTTGATCTGTATTTCTGTTTTCACTTTCTTGTAGCATTCTAGCTAATTCTTCATCTTTCTTTTCTTGTTCAATTCTCTTGTCAATTTCACAAATTTCTTCTGATGGAAGTCCAAGAACTTTAAGTGCTTGCAACCTTTCAATCTTTTCTCGATAATTTGATGTAGACGGTTGTTGCTGAGCTTCAATAATTGATAAATTTGAAGAAATTCCCGATTGGCTTCCACCTACAGCATTGTCTTCCTCAATCTCATCATCATCATCATAATGATTGTACTTTCTAGCATTTCCATTAACTTTTTCAACTTGACGATTTCGTTCCTCAAGATATTTATGATGTGGATGTCGTGTATTAATGTTTGGATTATATTGAGGAACACCATGCTCATGACTTGATTTTTGTAAATTGTTAATATCTAAATTATGCATTTCTTGGTCAAATGCTTCATCGAGTGCAATGTCAACATCCGAAAATTGCCGAATGCTGTCGACCCCTTCGAATGAGTTCTTTTGTATTTGTTGTTGTGACTCTTGACTGGGTGGAAAATTTCTTAAGTGCGCTGACTTTGCAGGGCGTGGCGGTGGAGGTATAGCTTCATTAGCTGATACAACAACCTTTTCTGGTGTATGTGATTGCAAATTAATTTTCGTATATTTCGGAGATGCTACAACGAGTTTTCTTTGTGGATCTGGTGGCATAAGGTCAAGGCATGCATAATGAAGTTGAGGAGATGTATCGGGTGAGTGGGCGAGATATTTATTGTTGTTGTTTGAGGGTTTCGGTTGATTTGGTCGTGGTGGGATTGGAACTGCTGGTTCATCACCTTTTGGTCTTGCTTGAATATTTTGTTGCTGCAAATATTTCCTTGCCAACATTTCACTTTTCTCTTGCTGTATGTTTCTTTCAATTTCAGTCTCACGTCTTAATCGATCTGCATATTCACGTGCTACAACTGCATCTGCTTGTTCCTGTTCCTCTATCATTTGATGATAAAGCATTGCTTGACGCTCAGCATCTTCTTTCTCTCTGATTTGCTCCGAAAGGGCTCGAGGAAAATCTTCACGGACGATTTGATTACGATAACGATTTCCTTTGTAGTGGTCGAGGACTAAAAATATTTTTTAAATTAGAAAATATTAAAGAAATGAAATTTTCTAATATTTACTTTCTTGATTTTGCAACTGATAAGCAAGTGCGTTATCCTCCCTCACGAGCCACTCCTGACAAACTGAAATAGAATGAAAAAAAAAAATTCATTCAAATCGATTCTCTCAAATAAAATCTTCTCATTCATGTGATATGATTTTAGAAATGCGCATATTCTCACTAAACACATTGGAGAGAAGAGAATGAGAAGAGAATTTCATGGTCAACAACATTGTTAAGCGTTCATTTTCCATACAAGGTGATCATTTTTACTGTTAAGAAAATCTTTTGCTAAAGATTATTGTGACTTGTAAATGGAAAGTTGATTGTGAATGATTCATTCATGAAGAAAAGTATTCATGGGAAGTATGTGTATGCATATTCATGTTTTACGGTTGCAATAAACCGCACGACTGACTTGCTTACGCGGAGAAAAAAAAGAGAAAAGCGGTTTTTATCTGTTAAGCAGATGTATGCGTATGTAACTATGATGACGGTTTTGGCAGATGCAAAACGAAAGTGACAACGAGAAATTGTTAAAAATTAATGTTTAAGAATGAAGAATTTTCTGGATGGGATAGCTTTTTCAAAGTTGATTCATTTATTGTAGGTATTTAAGTTTAAACTTTTAATAAAGTTTATTAAATTTATTTTTTAAAATTAAGTTTACTTTTTATTGGTCATAAAAAAATTCATAAAATTTTATTTAATCAACAGACATGAATTTGCACGAAAATACTTATCCAGACACGAATATTTAATAGTTTAAATAGTTTTATTCATATTTTAGCAAAAGGGTTGAAATATCAATTTCCGAATTCTTCAAATCTGTTCCAAAGTACAAGACAGTTTAAGCAAGAATGAAAATAATAATAAAACTTAAACATCAACAGCAATGTTCATGACTCATGAATAAACTTGCCGACTCTTATTAAATTAGATTTGTGAGAAAGAAAAAGTTTCAAGGTTTTAGAAAATTGCAATAACCTTGTGGCAATGAAATGGTTTGACTGCTTTTTTTTAAAAATTTTAAAGGGGCCGTTCACTTATTACGTTTGCATTTTAGGGGGGAGGGGGGGGGGGGGGGGGGGGGGGTGTTGAAAAAAATGTGAGTTGTAACATATTGTAACAAGGGGGTGAGGGGGGGAGGGGAGTGAAAAAAGTTTTTTTGCGTAACGTAATAAGTGAACGGCCCCAAATGAAAAATAAAATAAGAAAATGAAGATGCAAACAAGACTAATTCAATTTCAGCTTAAGTTCAGATGTCCAATTTCTCAAAATTTTAAAAGTCAACATGTTACTACGAAAAAAAAAATTAAACTTTAATTCTATTTATAAAACTTACGAAACCATAACAATCAAACAGAGTTTTACAACTTCCATGTTATTATCATACATGTCGTAAACATTTGTGATAAAGAAGTTTTAATGCTTGTTAATGATAAGGATATCGCGATATAAAGAAAGACTTGCACATACTTTAATAATTAGAGCAAGCAGATTTGAATACATTTGCATGGAACAATTAAAACTGCTGAGTTGTATCATTCGTTTTCGGATGACACAGTGAACTAATTTCCAGTATTTTCAGTCACGTGAACATATTTATCATGAGTAGCATCTAATGTTGATTTAATGGACTGATTAAATCTTTTACGTTATTCACGAAATGAAAGGAAATATGCATAAATTAACGGCTGTTATGACAATGTCTGTAGCTGTACATATTTTACACTTTTATTATTATAAATTTGGGTGAAATGCTCTTGTCTGGTCGTAGACATAAAAAAATGTGAAAATCATTTCATTCACACCAGAAAAGTATTTAAATCACGGCATGTTGATTATTCAACTGTCGAAATTTATGGCAGAACAATTACGGTGAAAAGTTTGAAGTAGAAACTGGCATGAATTTTTTTTTTCGTAACCAAAAAAATTAAAAGAAGAAGAAATTTGATTAAAAAATTTTTCATGCCAAAAAAGTGCGTTGAACTTGTCTTTTACTTCTTGTCGTGCTCAAACTTTCAATGAATGATAAATGTGTAATTTTTTTGAATGAATGAATGAATCATTCTCTTCATATAATACTCGTAAATGGTGAAGATGATAAACTAAAATACTTAATTAAATTTTATCCATTCTTTTTGGGTCATTCTCGTTAATTTATTCATACATTTATAGTCACAGCTTTAACAATCGTTTTTAAAATGGCAAACAAATCGGTTGTAAAAAATCTAAATTGCTTTTAATTTGATTTTGACAATCCATTTTGTTCAATGTGATGATGAATTTTGATTAACTTGGTTCCATCATTAAATGTGGGAATTGCTATGATATCTATTATGCGCTTGTTCATAGCTAAGGTTGGTTTTAATTAAGAAATTCTTGAAATTCTCAAAAAAAAACCAAAAATATTTTTAACTTTTCAGCTGTCTTAATTCAGAAAAGAAGTAAATTATTCTGCCTTTTAAATGCAAGGGAAAGAAGTAATATGCTAAAAATCCAGAGCTATTAATATTCGAAATGCATTATTTATATTCAGAATCTACAAAAACTTGCATAAAAATATTCAGAGTGAAGAATTTCTTTTGTGTGGTCATTCGAAGGCACGTAATGTAAAAAAACCAGATATAATTGAAAATAATTTAATTCTCGTCATCATTCAGATCATTTATATCCGCTTGATTTTTGCGAACCTAAAAGATAGACTTTAATCTCGTTTGTGATGGAGAGTGTTATGATGATTAATGCGAGAAATATTATTCATAGAAATAATTTTTAAATCGATTAATACTGCCGCATAAGATTTACAACAATTACATTTTCTTGTTTGTCACAAAGTAGTTGATTACTTCCTCATTTTATATTATTTCATTTTCGTGCATTTTTTTAAAGGCACAACGAAAAAGCAAGAGAGCGAAAAATAAATTTAAAAGTCAATTCATGCGAATCGTCAAAAACAAAGATATTCGAAGAAGTCAAGAAAATGTTCTTGTAAGAAAATGTCATTGGAATATGATAGCTTCCATTTCATTGACTTCCATGTATCCAGTTTCTTTGACATTTCTTCGAGATCAAAGGTCATTGTCAAAAACCTTTCTATTAAATGGAATTTCAAATCATTTTAATACACTAATTAATTACAATTGCTGCACGCTCTCCGTTATTTGTCTCAATTAGATATAAAATTATTAAGAACATTGCTTTCATGAATGAACATGTATGACTTGGAGATGACAAATTACTGGGTTCTCTAAAGGAAATATCATTCAATAATTCTTAAATCCATTCACATATATGGATTAGTTTTATTTATTAATTGTTAAAAAATTCATAGCTGACTTCCTTGAACTGCAAAAATTAAATAAAGATCAGGCTTTAATATTTTAAATTCTATTTCCTGATAAAGTTTGATCAGATCTTTCAAAATTACAAAACATTCGAAATTAACATCGAAATCTCGACCAACATTTTCAGATCTTAAATCACTGACAATATCCGACATGAATCTGATAAAATTTTCCTAACATTGCACTAAAAGACATTATTCACATAAATAGAAAGTGAATTTTATGCGTCCAAACAGACTCTCACTATTTCTCAGCTATATAGTTATATTAATTAACCACTGAAGAACAAGAAGCGATCAAGGAAATGCGATGGGAAAACAATGGTGAATCTCATTAAATTAAAATACATTTTTCCCATCCGTCGTCGTAAGTCCAAGTCAATTAAAAGTCAATTTTTTGTTGTTACTCACCCGATTTGACTTTGCCTTTAAGATTCTTTGTCGTTTCTGTCATTATTTTCACTAAATCTAACTTAAACTATGTCGCAACTTAAAATTTAAACACTTATCGTTTTGATTATGATAAAAATAAGGCAAAGAAAGCTCCTCAAATCATAAATATAAATTTTTTTTAAATCAAAAACTGCTTGAAGACGTGTAAACATAAGAAAGAAAACTTGCACAAATAAATAAGTCGCTACAATTTTTTTGTATTTTTTAATGGTAAGTTGAGATGGAATAAAAAATGTTTGTTGGGAGAGAAGCGAAGAATTTTTGTGAGAGAGAATTGGATGTGGATAGGAGACGATGAAATAAATAAAAGACAGTCCGTTACAAAGCATCGAATTTTCTCGTTTTCTATACGATCAGCTAAATGTGGCGCTGAATGCAGCTAGAAGAAGGAACTAAATCTGTAGAAGACGTTACAAGAAGTTCCAATTGGAATGCGGACTATAAGATTTTTTTTTTTTTTGCAAAATCCTATAAGAATCTTGTTTTGTCAGTCATTGAAATCTTTTTGACTTTTTTCCTATCAATGTTTCATGCAAATATATTTTTATCTTATCAGGATTAAATCTAATTGATTCTGCTCAGCAATTGACTTCCAATGTTGAGTCACCAATACATAAACGCGATACGATATTCGTTACACCTGTCTAGGTGTCTTGTTAATTTATTTATATGACTTTAATGATATTCACACATACATAAATTTTCATTGTTGTTTAATGCACGGTGGATTTAAAGTAGTCGTGTATCAATGAATAGAACGGCTGCTCGTTAAGTTTGATTTAATTTTTAAAATTTTTTATTATGTTCAAAATTTAGTAAAAAATGAAACTTTTGGTATATGTAGATGACTGTCAAGTCTCTTTAGCTCAAAAATTATAAAATGCATCAGCAGTAGAAAATATATCTACAAACAATGCTTAAAAACTATACAAACGCCCATCATGTATTTTACCTTCACATACCGCTTTCATGCCACACAATACAGAATGCTATTTAGTCATTTCGTGTTGGTGCTGCGAGTTGGATCAAAATATAAAAATTCTCGCAATTTTACCTGTTGAATAAAATACAAAATTTTAACTTTGATCGATTGTTGAAAAGTATACGATACATAGAAATTAAGATTAGTAATAAGTAAATTCAAATAATTAAATCTCATTAAGTTGTGATCATTAGCTACAATATTGTTAAGTTTTATAAGAAAAGTTCTTTTGTAAAGAGAAAAAAAAAACTGGTTTTTTGCGTGCAATTCAGAGGAAAGGCTTAAAAGAAGAGAACCAAAAGCTGTTGTGTTGAAGAGAAAACGTATTGGCCGTGATTTTGGTTGTTCATTTATAGCTTGTTTTTGTATCAACATCGATGAGTCATAGCTCTTCAATAGACGCGCGAGCACATAAACTTTTGTGATGAAACAAATTTTTCGTCCGAAAAGAAAACTTTTACCGTAAATAAGTTGATAAAGAAATCAAGTGTTTTAGTTTTGTAGCTATTTCTGAGGAAATTACGTGATATTTTGTGAATTACTTATTCGTTATTAAAAGACAATCAAAAATAAGCTGTTTAACATGCTCCCATTAGTTTCAACAATACCGCTGAGTACATCTGCATTTACAGCACTTAGCATAGGCGGTGCTCGATGCGGCTCAAAAACCTGTGAAATTTATGAATTTTGCTCAAATTTTCATAATGACTGTGAAAGTTGTGAGCCAATTTGTGATGAGCAAAACAACAATTTCGATAGACAATCGTGCATTAATGAGTGTCAAAGTAAGTAACTTGTAAGCTTTTCTTGTGTGTTTAAGGTGTTTATGAAAACCTTTGATGATCAAGTTATTGCAGAAGACGTGACAAAGTGTAGACATTTTTAAATATTTACATTTTTGGTGTAATATTTACTTAACATTAGTATGTGAATCAGTTTTTGGACTTTCGCTATTGATTCTCCAATTTTTATAATTGCTGAACCACAAATTTGTTTATTTACGCTCACGTGAGTGAGCACAGGCCAAATTTTGATGCAATCATGAAAAAATTGTTTGTTGCAATTGGGAAATGGAATATGAAGCTTGGAAATATGAGAACAAAATTATTGCATGCTTTATACGTTTGTTAAACTGATTGTGTTATTGACATAGTCAATGTCGGCGTGTTTGGCGATTTTGTTATCGAATATTTATCAGAATTAGAACAAGTTGAAAAGGTATTAAGTGCGATAAAAATATTGTTTGGATATGAAATTATGCAAGACTAGAATCAGTATATGAATATTTTATTAATGTGTGTGAATCTTGGATTGATTCTTGTCAAATAGTAGATTTTCTAAATATTAAAATGATTTGCAGCTATTGTTCTGTCAGTTACAGATTTTACAACAATTCTGTCTAGGAATTTGCCGTATGCATAGTAAATTATTTATGTAAAAGTTGTAAAATATTTTTATACTTTTTATATTCTTTTGGGTTTTCCCCAGATTTAAATGTGTATAAACTTCTATGATATTTATTGTGAATACTTTTGCTTCCGTTTTCAATCATACACCGGTACACCCAGACCTTTGTAAAGAAAGTTATATAAATAAATATCTGACTGATTGACAAATTATTATCATGAACCAGTTATTCAGACTTGTTCAAGTATCAACATTAACACCATCTTTGACACAACAACTGTATCTGTAATATAATCAACATCCATTAAACAATTATTTTAATTGCATTCTCAACTACTTTAATTAATAACGTTTAACACTCTTCAATTTACCTTAAACATTTAAAATACAATAATCATCAGTCCACCATGCATATTCAAACAATTAAGAGATTTATTGCTAATGGACTTCTGTAATTATTTTTGAAGAACACATGTTTGTTGTATCTTAGAATTTTATGACTCTTTACATCGTACGATGGAATGACGTGACTAGGAAAAAACAAATAATTCGCGAGATAAGATTTAAGTGATGAATCACAGTCTTTATATAACATTTTTGAGGTTTAGTCACCTGAGAAGAAAATAATAATTTGAGGCTTAATGGGAATTAATTAACTTTGTATCTTGTTTATTTGCTTTCGGAATGAGAAATGCTTAAAAGAGTTAATGGAACCGGCTTGATATTTCTGAAGACATTGTAATAAATATAATTATGTGAAGCATAATTATTCTACCCAAATGATGCTAAGCTCAATGTTCTTTTAAAGACTGTCATTAAAGTTTCATTCATAAAAATTGCCGATCCAAAACTTGCAGAATCAACAGTAAACTCATGTAAACAGTAAAATAAAAGAATTCACAAGAAAATGTCAACAAATTTGCAGTAATTTGCTTACCAAGTTTCTGTATTCGCAAATTATGCTTGTCTGTTATATAAGACATCACTGAACAAATCTCATTTCTCATAAACATCGCCTACACACACGGAAATGCATGTGAAGCTATAGAAAAAAAAACACTCACGAAGCAAAATATTTTTCTTTTGTTTCTTTTATTTACATCTAGATTATCTCCATGATCGTAGCTATGTAAAACTATCGGTTTATGACGGTAAATTGCTTGGAACATTGAAAATATCGAAATTTTTCCGTTAATGTTTTGCTTCTTTTATTTTTGTTTGTACTTTTAGCGGAAATAAAGAATCTTAAAATTTATCTTACGGTAACATTTGTGCTTGTTGTGATCCTCTTGATACTTTTTATGGCATTCAATGGAAAAAAGTTATTTAAAATCTGCAAAAACTCAATTCCATCAGTTAAGAAGCCTGTAAAGAATGTGAAACCAATAGAACCAATGACGATAGCCAATCCACAAACTGCCAGTCCAAGAATGCGAATCAAGGCACAAAATCAACAGAACAACAATCACAACTTAAATCGCTCATCAAGTATTTTTACTGTAACTGGCACAGAGTATGAAGCTAAGACTGTAAGTACACCAATATCGACAAGATATCCTGCTGAAGATACACTTACAAGCAGTCCAACTGCTGATTACTCTTATGATAATCGAGGACTTCAGTTGACACCGGTCACTGAAAAGCCAAAAATTGAAACGACATTCTAGTGCAATTAAGATATAAAGTATTGTATACATCACTAGATTATTAGTGGGATTTGATCTTCATGTCGTCTATCAGGGTTGGAACTAGATGGGAATAATTTTGTTAAAATAGCTCAAAAATTTAGTTTTCAACAAAATCAGCAGTCTAGTTCATTGACATTCCACTTAAAATCCCATTAAACTTCAAGCCCTGCCGTCCACAAAAAAAGCATGTCGAATGTTTTCATGATACAACAAAGTATTTAATTGTATGAAGATAAACAAAACGTTAATTTAAGTTATTTTAATTATTCTATTCTTTCCTTCTTTATTAAGTCATTCATTTCATTTCTTACATTACATTCTAGTGTCTAAGCTATTTATTATGTCAACAGAATTTTTGAGAAATTCCTTATCGATTTTTTTTCACTCGTTTTATGTCAATTGTCTGTGCTGAATAGATTGAATATTAATAAGAGAAAATTTCTTACAATTTACAGACAGAAAACATTGTTGAATGAATTTTTAATGCTCATAGATTTGAATTGGTAAGCAAGGAATTAAAGATGAATTTGTATCAATTTTTAAAAATGTTTGCAATATAAAAATAATTTTTATAGAAGTCTAGATTCGCACATCTTATAAAAATATGATCATAGTGATGATTAAGATAGTCACGAAACTACTGTCCGTCCAAAGGATTTTTAAATGATTATTAAAATAATGTTTTTTGATTTATTCGATATAAAAAATGTTAACTCTATCATGAGTCTTTTATAAAAAATTGTTGAAAAATTGAAGTATTCTGTCCTTAAGGTTGTTGACTTTTGGAAAATAAATTTGACTCCTCAACAAAATTTTCGATTATTATAATCATCGAAAAATGCAAGAGCCTAAAAAAAGTAAACTTAAAGTACTTCTTAATATTAAGTATTCTTTTACAAAAGTTGTCTAGAGTTAAGATACAAACTGATATGATTTTACAAAAAAAAAAAATGTTTACCATTCCTTAATAATTAAGTGAATTTAATTCATTTCCTTTATTTAGCAATAAATTCATTATTTTTCCTAAGAAGAAATTTCATTTCTCACTCAAATGCATTAGTTATGATTTATTTCAGTAGCTACAAGCTGTTTATTCCTAGATATGAGTACCTTGATACTAGAGTATAAGTCATTTGGTTGTTTTTATTAAAATATCAACTAGTTAAGGCACACTTGAAAAGTAAAAAATTATGTCCTAGATCCAAAATCTTTACATTATTTACAGTAATTTCTCTTGTTCAACATTAAGACTACTTTAACTCTACACCCAATATTGATTCCTCCTGAGCAGTGGATTAATTTTTGGCGAAATATGTTGAGGTTGAGCAATGGATGAGTAGCTGACTTCAGGAATCGTTCCCATATCACCAAGAGATGATGTCCAACTTTCAGGACCTTCGCTATATCCATATCCTCTCAACATTTGTTCTCGTGCATCTTCACGCATATCAATCATGTCTTCAGGATCTGAATCTTGAATATCTAACTGACCAATTGGAATTACTTTACAATGCGGCACATTACTAAGTACAGGTAATGGTGTTGATGACTGTGTTATTGGAAGTGACTCGTTGTCAGACGGAGTGTACATGCTTCTAGTGTTATTCATTGTTATAAAGTCAGGTGGTCGAGGTAAATGCGGTGGATTGTCTTTAGCTGGATCTTTCTTGGCTTTCTTACTTGGTCGGCATTTAATGATTAGGATTATTAAAATAAGGAACAGAATAATTCCAAAAAGGATAGCAAGCAGACACATTACATCAAACGGTAAAAATGCCAAATCAGGTGCAGGAATTTCGGGCACATAATCTTCACCAGCACGATTTGGCGACTGAATCTCTACAACCACAACTCCCTGAGCTGGTTGAGCAGTTTTTGTTGTCAGAATATACTCAAATGTATCATTAATTCCATTAAATCCAGGTGGAAATTTCCTAGCTACATAGTAAATTATTCCACTTTTCATTTCCTTAAAAGTGAACGATGTCACATCCTTATCATTAACATTCTCAACATCTCCTGTACTCCTTCGAATTTTCCTCAATTTTCCAAACTGAGGCTTCCTTGATATTACAATCTTTGGATTATAGCGATTTAACTTTAGTTGTGTTGGATTGTCTGGCACAAAAGTTGACATCAACCTTACTTTACTGCTTGGTGTGACTGTTATTGGGACAATTTGAATAAATGGCTCAACTACAATTAGGATGTCGACTAGAAGTGATGATGATGAATCTGGGATGTAAGCATTTACCTGTGAATTGATATAATTAAATTTCGAGAAACTAAAAACGAAGAGAAAATAAGGTACCTGAAAAGAATCATTACTTCTTGTCATATCGTTTTGGACATACTGTATGATTCCATCTTCTAATTGTCGTTGATTAAATCTAAAAATCTGCTTATTGTTGTTATTTAAAATTCCACCAATCGGAAGCTTTGTGATGTTGTAAATCAATCGACTTTTCTGTACATTTGTCTCAATGGATACATGATCGATTGATAAATTTCCAATATTGGACCCTTGAGGAACTGCCAATGGTTTAGCAATTACACTTGGGAAGATTTGAATTGGAAGAATTTTAATCGCAAATGTCTCGTAAGCTGGTTTAAATTCACCATCAGACACCTTAAATGTAAAGGTTGTTGATTCAGGACTTCCTGAATGCGTGTAGATAATTCTACGATCATTGATGTCTGCTTGTGTGAATTGATTCCCATAAGAAATAATATTCTGAACATATCCCTCATCAGAAATTTTTTGCAGCATACCATGCATTGGATTGCTAATAATTTCGTATATAATTCCATCAGCCGCTGTGTCAGCATCTTCAGTCAGTAAGTCTGCATTTGTGATTGTCTTATTTTCACCTTCAATGACCGATATCCTTGGTGAAGTTGTGATCAAATAGAAAGGCTGATCATTTAAAGGATTAATTGTGACTGGAATTGTTATATTGCATAAGAATATATTTCCAACAAGAAGATAAACAGCCATTGATATTTTATCTTCAACTGTGTCTGAATGATCATGTTGATAATAAACTTTATTACTATTGAAGTCAATCAAGCTGAATTTACTGATGTCTTTCCTTGAGTCCATTGTTTTTATGTATCCATGTGAAGGTTGATATGTCTCGACATATAATTCTGGTGACTGGATAGCTACACGAGTTTCTAAATATTCCAAAACTCGTGACAAATCAAGATGAATTGGCGCCAAATCACCTTCATCAACAACGATTCGAATGTTTGGTAAAAATTTCAAAAGTCCACCAGACGATACTGAAATCTCAATATTGAATGCTTGATCAATTAATGACGGTGCAAAAAGTGCCTTGACGTCAAAGAAGAATGAGTCATTTGTACGAAGTTCCACCATTGGCGACGTGTGCTCATAAAAAATTCTTCCATTTTCGATATCATCTTGCGTGAATTCTTGTACCTCATTCGTAATTCCCAATGTTGTATCTTCGCGGATTATCTTACCGATTTGTGGCATGACAGTTATTTGAAACTTAATTTCTCTGTCTACATCTGAGCATTTATAGAATAATTGATCAGGTAAAATTTGCTTCCTCGTCAATGGAAATACATGAAGAAATTCATTCTTGTCAACTTCAAGAACTACAGGATTGCTAGTTACGTAAAGTATCTGTTCACTTGTATTATGAATTCCATCAGTAACATAGAATACGACCTGACCTAATTGGGCACCTTGGATATTGTAGTCATTTATAAAATAGATCAACTCACGATTTATGTCTTCTTGAGTGAAATTGTGGATTTTTCTATTAAAAAAATTCTTGTAGCTCAAATATCCACCTGATAGATGTTGGATGTAGTATGTAAGATTGTCTGGTGGAGTATCATAGTCTTGAACCACTGGAATTGAGAAAATTTAAAATAATCAGACCATAATTTAACCAAAAGTTATTGATACTTACTCAAATCAGTATTTTTCAGCACAGACTTTCCACCAATCCACATCTGTAGTCCAGTATTTGTGACAATAGCTGGAACTTCATCATTTACAGGTTGAATCTCAATAAACAACTCGAATGGTAAGCTTTCCTTATTTTTAGCATAGGCAATCAACTTCATGCTATCAAAATGATCTTCACTTCCACTGTGGATATATTGTACAACATTGGCTTCAAGCTGCTTTTGAGTGAATCTATTGATTTTTGATGACTTTCCTGATTTTATAGAACCAAATCGAGGAAGTTCTAGGATTTTGTATTCAATAATTTTTCCTATATAGTATTCTGAGTATGGTATCATGTGCTCGGGAGTGAGCTTTACTGATTTGCCTGTCGGAAAAAAATTGACAATTTAAAGAACATCTCATGTCTGTATTTTTCAATATTATATCACAGCTTACCTTCTTCAACAAACAATTTTGCTGTCTTAACGTACAAATTCTCTGGTATTATTACAATCTTCAGAATTAAATCTCTCAACCAATATATTCCATTCGTGACATCAAACTTGAAATAATCTGATGACTGATTAACACCAGCTTGTATATAAAACATTTTCTCCGAATTTATTGTCGATTGATCAAAGACTTTTGAATTGTACTCATCGTCTGATGTTATTGATTGAATCTCCAAATATCCATGTTGCGGTGATGTTGTTACTAAGTATGTGATATCGCCTGACATTGAAATGAGAGAAAGGAAGAAATAAACAATGGATTAATTGTTTGGACAGCACACGAATTGTATTTAAGACAAGTTAGAGATGTTTCGGGCAGATTTGATACAATTTGTGTTGTTTTCATGTAAATATTGGATATCAAGTTCAAGTGCACGTGCACGATTGCTTTTAGAGAAAACTGTACTTACCAGGAGAAATACTTGGGTGTCCAATTTCCAGCACATCTCTTAATATTGTGACACTCGTCGACTCTTCGACATAAAGTGTCTGATTACGTTTAATTTGCAATGGCTCCCAATAAGCTGCTGGATAAATTCTAATAAGTAATTCACCCTCTGTCCAAACACTTTTGGCTGTAACTCGATACTTGAATCTGTCCATCGAAGCCACTTCGGTATTTAAATAAGCAATTCTCTCTTTCTCAACTTCTGCTTGTGTGAAATTTTTAATAGATGTTGTGTTATTATGTCTGCCTGTGTAGGTAAGATTGTACTTTTTTCGATAATGCTTAAGAACTCCATGACTTGGATCTTCAATGATTTTATACTCAATTTGATCAGGTTTAACATTCAAGTTTGTCTCAATACTCAAATCTTCGAGTGTAATTGGTACATGATGGCCTTCTCGAACAATAGATGCATTCACTTCCCTAATCTTTAAGAACGGATCGGAAGCTTCTATTTCAAGCATTCCAGGAACATCGAAAGTTCCATCAGTGACTATAAAATTAACTCTTCCATAATCATCTCCTGAATGATTGAAGTAGACCCTCATGTTGTTAACATCATCTTGATTGAATGAAAGTGCTGTGATTCCACCAATCATGACTTCACCATTTGCTGACTGGATGTTTCTGTAAATAATATCAGCGACTCGAGAATCAATGTCAGGATCTGAATATTTTAATTCTGCTGATGTAATAATCTTGGAATCTCCTCGCACAATTGGGAACTTTTTGTCAATTTGCCTGACTGGTGGATTATCATTCTGTAAATAAATGTCAATAGCAATCTCACTGACGTACTGAAAGTCTGTTTGACTGTCAGAAGTTATTAAAATCTTCATTGAATCGTCATTTGACTCAGAGTCATCATGGCAATAAAAGACATCCCCAAGGTATAAATTCTCGAGTTGAAAACTTTCAATTCTCTCCTTATATTCATTAGTTACTAGACATAAATCTCCATGACTCGGTGAATGTGTCAAGTTAAATGACAAAGAATTAAATTTATTAAGCAACACGTCAAAATGAATTCTGGAAATTGCTGTACGTTCACCTTCATTTACATACAATTTGTCTTTTCTCTGATATGTTAGTGTCTTTGCTAAATTATCGTCTGGGTTATAAATTATTTTAATGGAACCGATTATATCTTCACATTCTGGCACTGTCACAATGAATTCAATATCATCGACGAATAATGAGTAAGAAGTTCTAAATGTTTTATAACGAATTCTGCGTTCATCGATGTCATGTTGAGTAAATGAGTCACCAGCTTTTGCAGAGCCATCATAGCCAGCAACATAGAGAATTCCAAATCTTGGAACAGCTAATAACGTATAAATTATTGTTCTTGAAAATGTTGGAATTGGAGTTGTTTGATGATATAAGCATTCATTGTCTATTACTGTATCTTTAGTTCCATTTATGACTTTATTTTGATGCTTTTGAATACCAATCCTTAATTTTGTGAATGTAATTCTAAAATCATAAACTGATGACTTGACAGGCCCAAGAGTAGCAGTAAACTTAAACTCATCAAAATGCGGAAATTCTGGCGACGTATGATGATAACGAATCTGTCCCAACTGCAATTGATTGCTCGTAAAAGTCTCAACTGAAATCCACGATGAGTCAACTGAACGTAGTTTCTGTATAACACCGTGATGCGGCTGCCTTGTTATATCAAATTTCACATCAAGATTATCGTCATCGGAATTTGTTGTAAATGAGAGATTAGATGGTGTAATTACTGATGGAGATTTATGAATCATAACAAGTCCTGTGTTATTCATCATTCGAAGTTGAAGTGGCTGAACAGAAACTTGAAGGGTTTCGGAGCTACTTGTCTCAATCCCATCAGAAACTTGCAGACTTATATCAAAAAATGTATCTTTAGTGTGATGGGAATTAACAAGGTATGTGACAAGCTTGTTGTTGACATCCTCTTGAGAAAAAGAATCTGTTTGCTTTCCATTTACTTCCAAAATTCCATTTTCCCCTTCACTGCTTGGCTTCATAAGAATTGTGAATATTAATGAACTGTTTGAGCTGTCGGGGTCATATGCTGTTAATAGGTCAGATCCTAATACTTTGGGAATTCCCTGAATTAATCTAAGAATTTTGTTCGATGGGAGTTTAAGAACTGGTGGGTCATTAACTGGAGTCACATTGACGTGCAGCACGAACTTTCTTTTCTCTAAAATTATTCCGATATTATCTTTCATTCCAAATTGCATTTCAAGACCCATATGATCTGAAAAGTGTTCACTTCCATCATGTGTATACTTGACTTTGTCTGTCTGTAAGTCAACCAGAGAAAAAATTCTTGAATGAGTTTCATTGTAGTGCTCGCCATTCCCTAGGATTGACAGCTTTCCATATTTTGGTTGCTGTGTAATGTTAAAGAGGATATTACTTTCATGAAGCTTCAATCTTGCGAACTCAAATACGACTCGTACAAATTCTGGAGACAAAAACATATAACCGCCTTCTAAAACTGACATTGGAGTTACTTCCAGCAATGGAATATGTTCTGGTGGTGCAAAAGTTGTGAATAGTTTGTAAGGTTGCTGATAGTCATTTCGGATGCAGAAATTTTGGTCACAAGAACAAATGAAATCATCGATTCCTTGCTGATGGCATCTGGCACTAAGAACACATGGGGAAGTATCAATGCATGGATATTTCCAGACACACCCGATAGCTGTACCGTAAGTAATTTTCATCTTTGGAAATCCAATTAATTCAGAATTAATATAAATATTTTTCATGCATCCTTTAAAGCTTGCATCTTTAGCATGAAATCCTTTATTCGTAGCTCGCTTTCTTTGTGCATCTGAATCTAGTCCACCAATATGAAATTCTTGTCCCAACTCAAGATAATTGGAACTTCCATTCGCAAATGATGCTGTATTGAGGAAGTCATCGACAGATATTTTCACTTCAGATGGGTTATAATCGATTATCACACTGTGCCATTTACCATCACTCACATTTCTATCAGGAATAAGTTCTACTGCATTTGATCCTTTTGCAACGAGAAGTCTCAGTCGGCTGTCAATGATCTCGAGGGCAAGATAATCAAATCTGTTGGATTGCTCGAGATTGTATCTGGAAAAAAAAATTTATGTTTATAAGAGGCGAGTATTTTTAAGGTCCAAAAACTTACAGTAAAGCTCCATATTCTTCAATTGTTTTAAAATCAAATGACCAAACATCTCCATTCCTCATTCTTCTTTCCTCAAAAGCTTTTCTATAAACGATAAATCCTTCAAGATCATCAACAAAACTAATTGTTTCATGATTTTCAGCATCAAATTCAGGAGCACAATTCCAAGTGATTCTTTCAGTCTCAACATGGTTCGATTTTTCTCTGGCACGTTTCAGAATATTTATATTATTGTAGAAAACATCAGATATGCATCCTCGAAAGTTATCAACTCCCTGAAGATATGGAGCTGTAGATCCAATCATTCCACCTAAGTAAACTCCAAAATGGACATTTAGATCTCGAACATCGACAGGGAGAGTTCTTCGTACAAAATGTTCATCAATTTGAAGAGTGAGGTTTGTTTCATAACGGAGAATGACTACCTCATGCCACATTAAGTCATTGAATGTGAATTGTTTTGGAGACCAGAGCTGGAATAGATGGAATAAAATTAATTTTAATATAAATCCTTAATCTGTTTAACTCTGGAAACTGCAGGATATATCCACTTGAAAGTACTAACCTCAGTCTCATATTCGTTGACTTTAAGTTGAAATTTTATTCGTCCCTCATTCAACGTCAACAGACAATGATCTGTCCTACCGGATGTCAAAAATATCAATGCATTTGATTGCCGAGAACGAAATTTCATTCGTACATTTGTTGATAATTTAGCCTCTTGAAGAGGCATATTAATGTGACTCGCGCCAAAGAACGATACTGAAATAAACATATGGAAAAATAATTTATGAAACAAAATGTATAGCATGAATTTCTGAATCATAAAAAAAGTTATGAGCACAACAAAAAAAAAATTCAGATTGAGAAAATGCAACCTTGAACTACCGAAAAAAAAGAAAAGAAATCTGTGAGAATATTTGAGGCATGCTGCATAATCGTCATCACAATGAGAAGAAAATATTTAAAAACGCAGACAGAAAAGAGGAAGGAATTTAAGCGAAAAACCACATGGGAAAAATTGTTTTAATTGAACGATGATGCTGATGGATGTATCATGAAAGAAAAGAACAAAATATTGCTATATAATCTCTCTGAGATCATGCTGAGATTTTATGAGAATGAAAAGTTTTTCAGAGAGGATCGCGTCTCTTTCTCTCATTTTCGATCCATCAGAAAATTATATTTCTTCTATTTTTAAGTGAATGACTTTTTTGATTGCAGAGAAGAGATGAAAATTATTCTGAATGAAAATCCTATACACAATAATTTTTTTTAAGTTTGTAAGATTTTTGCGTTTACATTTTCACTGACAGGAATTTTTAATCTTGAGGCACTCAAAAATTATTCAATCAACTTGAAGAGCATGTTTTGTAATGGAAATATCATTAAAAGTGATTGAATGCATATTGAAAATCTTGTTATCGTAGGTTATAAATGTTTATGAAATTAATTTGGAATGAATTTTGATTGATTTGTGGAAACATTTATTGAAATACTTATTGAGTATCCCGGATGCTAATGTATTACATTGAACCAAATTCTGGAAGTGAAACAAATGAAAACATTTTCAACCATGGTAACGAATTAAACAGGATTGCCACTAAACCAAATCTTCATCCAAGTGAAATCTTAGTTTAAATAATCATAAACATTACACAAATGATTTTCATAAATTACGTTTGTAGTATTAACATCTGTATGTTTTAGATGTTTACAGCAATACGTGAGAAGCATAAATTACAATAATTATCATTAAAAGTTGTAGAATATTTCCTGATTTTCGTCCATATTTTAAAAGTTAAAGTTTTTCGCAAGTTAAAAGTTGAGACAATTTTAATGGAGATTATTCGATGACAACATGAATGATAATTTATTTTATTTGCGTCAGAAATTGCAAAAATAGGTCTTTGAATAAAAAATGATGATTTCATATCAAACTAGAGACAAGGTGCGTATTTTTTGGACTTTTAACTTTGGTTTGACGACAACTCCATCTCATTACATGATCTTCAAAGTCTTAAGTCTTTGTGTTACTTGATACATATTCAACAACATCAAAGGAAAAACCTAACACTTATTCAATGACAAAAACTTAAAAGCTGAGAATTATATAAACAGTTTCATTCACACAATTTTTCTCTCCTGACTTTTTAAAATCCTATTAACATAAATTCATCTAAAAACATTTTCCACGCTTCATTTCTACTTCCTGGCAAAAAAAAAAACTTTATTTTATTTATGCGTCGTCTTGTTATATTTTCACAAGTTTTTATTTCACTGCCATTTATTATGTATAATAAATTTCTTTTAGTGCTTCTAATGGAAAATCATGAAAAAAAGTATGACAGATGCGTGCTGAAATTTACTCTACTGGTAAATGTTTGTCTAAAAGATGTCATTTCTAATCCAGTTGTTAAATAAGTTAAGTTTCTCAAGATAAAAGGCCAAATATTCAGCATTCACGCAGAATTTCCATTAAAATTATTATTTTAAGAGTATTTTACTACTCTTGCTGATGCTGATTGTCAGTGGCACATTTGTGTGGGTCAAAATGATCTCAGAAACAAGCTGATCAATTTTTCCATGTAAATTAACATAGTCACTGCTGGGAAGATTGAAAAAAAATTTGAAATTTTTTTGTTTCGACAGTTTGAAATTTGATATTGAGAACCACGCGTTAAAATTCATCATTTTCTAGTAAATTAAGATAAAAGTCACAGAGTAAAAACAAATTTGTTATTTTTGGATTTAAAAAAGTGCATCAGCGTCGTATTGAAAACAACATTAAAGTGAATTTTCCTAAACAAACATCAACGCTGTAATTAATAAATTCCCTATTGCGTGCGTGTGCATGTTTGATGAAAATATTTAGAATCTTAATTTTTTTGTCTTCCATCGTCACATTATTTGACTGCTCATAGGTTATAATTACGCACACAAGTGTGAATAACGTTCGAATTGGTTCTGTAGAATAAATAATCAGTCATGTTCCTTTGATGTTGAGTTTCTTGCTCTTTTACATCAGGCGACGATTTTATGAGCAACAGTTTATGCTTTTTGTCTGGTGAAATGAGAAATTTCGCTTGTGATGTTGACTTGCGGTTGTTCTGAAGGTTTATGATTTATAGCATTAAAATGATTTAAGGAAGATTTATTAAAAGAAAATTCTCAAGAAGTTGTAAAAAGATTTAATTTTCAGATTCTCTTAGAAGAGACTTGAAACAATGTTTATGCAGATTTTGAGGTATTCTAGGATTGAAAAATTCTTGAAAAATTCACGAAAATTCTCAAATTTCAGAAAATGTAAAGTTTTTATTATTAAAAGAAACATAACAATAATTACTGATCTTTGATATGTTCTGTCTTGCAAGTTTTAATTTTCTGATAAAATTTATAAATACCTAATAAATCAAAATTTGTGTAGGTTTAATTGTTTACAGGCTTAAAATTGTATTAATTGTATAAAACAATAAAAGAATAGAAAGAACAATTTTTAAAGAAAATGTCTACGATTCCCATTTGCAAAATTACTTTGCGTAGAAATGCGTGAAATTAATTGTTTAAAAGGCATTCGAGTTGAGAGAATTTGTAATAATAAATTTTGATTTTTGTGATTTTTTGTTAATTGTTCCCCAGCGAATGATAATTCATACTTTTGAAATAAACAAAAATATAAACACCGACATATGATGTCTTTTAAAACTTGTATTTATTTTTCTAATCGAATTACTACATCCCTAATAATTATCCTATATTCCTTAAAATTATCTCACTTAAAACTCCTTCAAACTATCTTAAAGTGTGTGACTTTTAACATTCTCAAGTAAAATATAAAAACTTTTTTTTTCTAAATGTGTTAATAATTATGAAATGTTCTTTTAAAAAGAAAAGCAAACAAGTGAACTGATGAAAATATATCTTATGAGGTCAAAGGATTTCATGAAATCATCATGTAAAAAATAAAAACTCAAAGAAAAAGTTTTAAATTATGATTTTGAAGAGTAAAAAATGCGATGAAAAATATTATTTTAAAAAAATTTATAGCTACAAGAAACATTTCGTTCACCTTGGATTATTAGGTTATTTGAGAACTTGATTCAAATAAATCATAAAACTGTAATAAAGAGAAAATAAGTGACAGGAAAATCTGTTGATTTTAATCCCATAGTTGGAAGTTGTGAGCTCCCTTGTGGGATGAAAAGAAAAATTAAGAAGAAAATCAGGCTTGTTGTAACTTTTGGATAATGCTTTGTTTTTGGTTTTCTGAGGACTAATTTTATCAGATACCGAATTTCATAAATATCTATCTTAATAAATTTTGTATTAAGATAATTTTCATTCCAAAATAATGAATTTTAGAGTCGGGTAAGTAAAATAAGATTGATAACGAATAAACGGGAAGAGCTAAACTGAACTTAGAATTTAAAATAAAAAGTCTTAACAAATTTCAAAAAAAAAAACATAAAAATTCTCACTCCTACACTTAAGTAATCTGTTTTTGTATATAAATCCTACATAATTCACTCATTCATTCAGTTCTACAGTCACAAAATTTTTAATTTAATTTGATAAATGTTTTTCATATCAAGTCGTTACATTTGCAATTTCTAAAAAAGAGATCAAAAAATTTAATTAAGTGAAAAAAGCAAGTAATTCATAATGAAAACCGCTTTATGTAGTTCATCTTATTCATCAGACAATAACCAGTGATAATAAAACTTTGTTGATATAAAACAAAAGAAAATTTTACGATTCGTATTTTTATAGAGGATAATAATGTAGGAAATTGAATTATTGCTTTAATTAATTAAATTTCAGATTTTGATTGCATCATCAATTTCAATTCCACAACTGTACCCTCGGAATTGGAATCCTAAAATTAAACCACATTCATGCGTCTGCATCTCTCATAGAATGTTGGGAATCAAACAACAATAAATCATTGACACTTAAGTATCCAAAAAAATCTCTTTAAATTACCTTTGACAGCATCAACATATGAAAAAATTAATCCTAAAAATATCCATAATGGCAGCAAATAGTGTCTCAAATTCATCTTGAAAACATGTGGCAACAATAACTTTTTTCACTTCAATTTATTTTGAATCTTTATGCTTAATTTTTTTTATGCAAGGTACACGCACATTTCACATTTTTTTGAGTCGATTCTCAAACCTTTTACAAATAACAATTTAATTTAATTTTTATGGCACTTCTTATTTTATGGCACAATCTTTTTGTAAGAAGAATTAACTTTAATCCTTTCACAATAAAAAGGGCATCAATTTGTGTTTCACAACATCTTAAGTTTTCACTTCCTCCCTCTCACATCATATTTGATCAAGAATCAAAATTCTTTACATCCGGCTGTTGCAGATCATAAACACCACTTCACTCATCCAACTTAATTTTAAATGTGATAATTTCCATATACACAATTTTTTTTTCCTCTCTTAATTTTATGTGTTTATTTGTTTCACACTAAAATTTTTCTCTCATCATTTCTTCCCCTCAGTCAAATGATGCACTCATTTACTGTTGCTTCTGTTCCTATTTTTTTGGTTTTATCGCAGTTCAATTGAGTTAACTGGTAGAAAAATTATTGCTTACAATATTAAAAAGTGCATTTACTATTATTTTCATTTTCAATCTTTAAGATCAGAAAAATATTAATAATTAAGGAATTCAACTGTTTAAGGACTGAATTGTTTCTTTATATTGTATTATGCACAGACCAGCCCAAAGTGAATACACAAATCATATAACTTAAACATAAAAACTGCACCAATAAGCTATAAAATTATAATCACAATCTAAATAAGCGCAGGCGGCACCAGTTAGCACAAGGGCATGCGTAATTTACCAATTAATCTTAATTGTTTTTCAAACATCGATCGCTGCCAATACAGTTGCCGATGAAATTTTTATTGCTCTTATTTGTTGAGTTGCATGTGAGTTGTTTTAGAAACTATATAGAAACTAGCAACTGCTGTTGAGAACATAAAGATTAGAAAATTTATTTTACATTCTTTTATATAAGAAATTGTTGTGATAAAGTGCATTATGAGGAGAATGACGGCAAATTAATTAATTTGATCACGAAAGGTTTTTTTTTCGTCTCCGCTCAGAAATATTTTTTGAGGAAATTTAAATTCTTTCATTTTGTAATGAAAATTCTTCAATGTACATTAAGACCAATGGATTTAAGATGAAGATTTATAAGAACTAAAAAATGTTTCAATCTTAATTGAAAGAGTAGAAAAATTTATTCGAATGAAAATCTTCAAGTCATTTTCACCTCTTTCGGCACTTCCATCATGTTTTATTGCATCCGTGAGAGCTTGAAGATGGCAATATTAATAATTTTTGATTAAATGTTTATGTTTTAAATATTCATGACTCCTTTTTTCATTTTTATGATGTGTCTAATTGAGTTTATGCTTGTTTTAAAAGATTTTGCTGTTTACGAGTTGGATGTGCACTTTAAAAAAATATCATGGCTATTCCTAATTCTAATATCAAAAATTTTGATCCTTCGAAATCAGCATAAACTGTAAAACCTCAAAAATTTAAATCAACTCTTTGCAACCATAAAGATTCGGATCGTTTAAATCAAAATCCATTATTCAAAAATATCATCCATTGGTGTCTAAAGTCATACATTTGAATTAAAATGTATATCTTTGAAAAAAAAATTAACTCAAGCTGTTTATGCATTAAATGCTTTAACTTAATATATCTATTTTTTGATCAAGTTTCAAATTAAAACTCTGTTTTTCGAATCAAAACACAAATCTTGATGCTCAAATTCTTCATTTTTGGTGTAGATAAAACTTCCCAAAACGTATGGTGTCAAATCATTCTTGAGCTGGAAAATTTATATATTTTTATGACTGAAAACATTTGTCGTTATCCATTAATAGATTCTTCTATACATTCGAAATACAGAAAATTAAAATTTAAATGAAGATATTTGTTGCATGAAAAGGAAATCCCCTGCATTAAGTTCATCAGAAGTGATCTTTCTATCGTCTTTCATTTTTTCTTGCAATATGGATGAATATGTCTGTGAATATAAGATTATTATGTAGAATTCATTGCACTTAGCATGCAAAAATGAGAGTGGCATATGAAGATTTTGAGGAATCGCTTTTATTTTGCAAATTTTAAATTTTTATTTGCATATTTCGTAATTAACAATAAAATCCAAATGAGTTTAAACAAAAGCGCACATCATAAGAATGAAAGAAACCCATTTATGCAATTGAAATAATTCATATCCATTTCCATTAGACTTTCATAATCCACTTGTGTGAATGAAAATGAAAATTGCTGTAATTTAATGTGTTTGCCTTTCTTTCATATTTTTGCATTATTATTGAAAGAAAGGCCGCATAAAGAAAAGAATAAAAGATTGCAAGAGATTACTAGGAAATGTGCATCATATTAAATTTGTATCAGGGATGTCAACATGTAAATTTGTAAGAAATCCATTCAGCCATGAAAAAAGATCATCAATGTCCCCTTGCATTACAAATTGCTGCCTGCATTATTATACATTTATGTTGTATGCAACGCTATGCATTTTTATGTATATATAATTTTTTTTTTTACTTTTTTCATTCGACCATAGAAGAAAGTGACTGACTGGCTGACTAAGCAGTAGAAAAGAATCACTAAGTGAAACATACGTACATATTGGAAGTGGGAAAGAAGAAGGAAAATGAAAATATTTATAAATAGAAAGAAATGAAAAAAAGACGCGCGCTTGAGGACTCTTTGTAGCCATAAATAAGAAGAAGATTTTTTTTTCATTTTTTTTCTTGTTAGTTTACTTTATTTTGTTGATGAATCATTTTGAATCGCTGCCGAATATAGAAAAGAGAGAAAATAAGCGCCAGATAAGTGCAGTAATTTTTTAATTTTTATGTGAGGACAACGTCTTTATGTGGTTTTATGGATTGTATGGAGTTAAATGACGGATATTTAAGTTCGACCTCACTCAAAATTTCCAAATAAAATCTTGAATACTGCACATCGATTTCCCCGTTTCATATTTTTTTGTATAAACAAATCAGCAAATCAAAAAATCACACGAGTCTTCATAAATAATACAACGAATGAGTTCTTTTTGATTATTTTTAAAAGGCTCTATTGGCAATTTGGCAATGAATTCTGCAAAATGCAACGAAGCACTCGTCATATGACTTCCTATGAAATTGACTAATAAATTGAATAGAATGGAAAGTATGAAATTTTCTTTCATTGCCAAAGTCACTTTTCATATCTCAATCAGCCCTTAGAATCAATTAAATAAAGAAGTAGTTAAATCATTGATATCCGCTTTTTAACATAAATATTTACATTAAAATCCAATGAACCTTAATTCCAAAATTGAACTATCCATGAAATCTTTAATCAATTAAAATTTAATCTAAATCCATTCAGCCTTGACCATAAATACTGAAAATAAATTGAATCTAATCATATTTTTGAGAACACTAATCCAGTCACAATTTCAATGAATTTCTCACATGAATCATGTCATATGGAACTATAAAATGTCAATTATTAATTTTCAGGAAGCTGTTCCACATCGATTAATTCACTGAGCACACAAATTGACAATAAAATTCCACTCTCCGCCAAAAATTCAATTAAAAGTCTTAATTTATTACACACAATATTTGTCATTGTTTAGTCTCATATTCATTGGCGGCATTTCTCATACATGGCAGTACACAGTACGGCATTATGTGCATATGCCTATGAAAATTTTATGAGGGAGTTCGAGACGTCACTTTTTATAAATTATTACAGACATATTTCCGAGAATTATACATTTTTTCCTATATATGTGATGTTTGAATTGTTTTGCGCTTTGATATGCCAAAATAAGGCACACACATATGAGACTTTCGATCGTCTTATTTTCTCTTAGACAACGGTTCCGCATCATTTAATATGATATTCTTCAACAACAATAACGGAAAGGCATATATGTCATGATGAAACGGCTGTGCATGCATAATGAGAATCATTAAATGTATTGACTCTCGATCGTCTTTAAGCACAACAAAAAATTTATCTTTGGCAGTTGCGTAAAATTAAATTTAATTTGACGATCAGCCACTTGAGAAGATTTTCACATAAAAAACTTTTTTTTTCGCAATTTAATTTTTTTTTTGGATACGATGATGTACATATCATCAAAAAGAAGTCAATTATACGCTAACTCAGCATACTAATTTTATGGTTCAGCGTGAATAATCAGTAGAACTAATTTAAAACTGAGAAAATGTTTTTCTCTTATTTTTTCGCATCTTTGCGAATGCTTAATGTGTGTTTATAAATAAATACTTAGCAAATGTTCACAATTTCATGACTCTTACGGTCGAAAGTCATCTTAATAGCAAGAGTTGGTAATGAAATGGGGGAAAATTATCGTTTGATATCTGGCTGAGTGTCTTTTATCAATAATGCTTCAAGTTTAAAATTACAACGAGTTTCTGCTTTCAAAATGAAACAGAAGATCAACGAACTAGCACTTAACTAGCTCAAAATTAGTTGCAATCTAAAGTTTGCATATGAAAAATTGATTATAAACTTAATGCGCTCTAATCCCCAACAACATACGATATTTTTTTCACAAGATTTTTCTATTTTCTCTATCGTCTTATTTCCTTGCAAGTGGAAAACATCTTGAGTATTATAAATTTAAATGAATCATCAACAACAAAAACGTGTGCTGCACAGAAGATTCACCATGAAAACTTCATTCTCGTTTCTTCTTATTTTCATCCACTTCATGTGTGTTATATTTATTTACAAAAAGATTATATATGACTCTTTTTTTTGCATAGTCTTTCCACTAATTAACAATATTTTCATTATATTTTGCCACAAATGTCTGCTTCGAGACAGTCGCATCATCATCCTCATCAGTGTTGTAGATATTTCATTTCTTTTCAGGAATAACAAAAAAGAAAAATGAAAAATCATTTATTTATAAAAATAACAACAGAAAGTCTTTCTTCCTCTACTCTGACTTAGTATTTTCACAAATTTATGCATGTATATGCCATCAACATGATGTGATAAAACATGAGGGAAACACCGTTTCAGAAAAAAAGTGACAAAAATAATTTTTACTTCTTTTTATTCTTATTTCCACTTAAAAATTAAGAAAATCTTCGAGAGATTCCACTCGACACATTTTAACGCGACCACGATCAACTCAATACTGAGCGGAAAAATTGAAAAGAAGGGGATCGTCTATCTGTTCTTAATTTTTTTTCTTTTCATTTCCCTTCTCAATTTAAGAAAAGTTCATTCTCATTGCTGCTTTCTCAATATTGATTGTTGAAAACTTTATTTTGAGAGAGATCTTGTGATATTTGAGAGGAATTGAGAAGCTTCAGAGATCGAGAAAATTTTCATTCACGTCTTGAATGAAAAGAAAATTTTATTTGATCTTCGATCATTTTTGCCGGCTTTGCATTGAGTGTTTAAAACATGACGCTCAGAGAAGAGTTGTGTTGATTTTCATAAAATATACATTTTTGAACGTATCGGGCCAATTTCAACGATCTTTATAATAATAAAATTGCATAAGCTACAAACAATTTCAGACGTTTCTTATAAAACTTTTATTTTATAAAGTGATAAATTTGAGGAACAAACATCAAGAAAATCATGATTTTTTGTGTGAATAAATTTATTTTTTTTTTGTGGATAATTGTGATAAAAATTCTTATTTTAGAAAGCAAATAGACAACTTTATTGAGAATAAGATTGTAGTTTTTGAAAAAGATAGTTTTATTAAAGATCCAATTCCAAAAGAAAGACAAACTGAGTCAGGATTTTCATTGAAAAATAAAAATTGTTGATTAAGTTTAATTTGATGATTTTTTTAAACTTTAATTTTACGATTTATTCTTCAAATTATAATTTAATTTACATATAACTTAATTTCAATAAGAATAGAAACAAAAATATACACCATAGTCCAATTAATTGCTTTGTCTTTTGTTTAAATTTCCTCTAAAATATTTAAATTCACAAAAAAAATGTTAAAGCTTTACAATAACAATATTAAGTGATTTTAATTACAACATTAAATTCCTTTTCAATTTATTGAATGACAAAAAAATTGTGTCCATAAACAACGATCAGTTTGTCACCATTGTGCGGTATCATTAACCTAAATTCTAACAATAGATGATTAAATTTAAAAAAATACGTAACAAAAAAGAAATTCATCGATAAAGATCTTTAAAAATAGATTTGTATTTTGGATGTAAATATTTCTATATTTAAGCATGATATTATATATTAATATCATGTGTTACTGCATATAACATTATTGTATATTAATCGAATTTACATTATAAAGATCTTTGCATTAGATCTTTGCATTATATTGCTCATTGTGATGAAAAATTCTTCATAATTTTTAAGCTGATTGTTTTTAAAATAGAAAACAATAAGTGAGACTGAACGTAAAAAATCATGGTCCTCTTGGACTTCACTCAAGATGTATGGTCTGTTAACACTAGTTCTTAATATTCAATTCCCAAAAATGGGGATCGCCTTTTCATTAATAAAATCATCAAAATATTGAAAAAAATGGAATAAAAGAACCGGAAGATAAAATGGAATTTGAATTATTGTCACGAACAGTAGCAGCAACAGCTCAAATGAAACATTCCAAAACGTCAAAACATATTTTTTAAGGTAATACTCCAAACAAGGAAGTTATTACAAAAATTGCTCAGACCTTCCATCGATACATTCAAACATCACGTGGAAGAATATGTCAAGCAACTTTGTCCACGATTCTTTTTCTGAAATTGATTTAAAAAAAGAATTTTAATTACTTTTGTAATGTTGTTTGATGTCACGCATTACCTTCATCGTTGAGTTTACAAGCTGCGCATAGAACTTCAACAATGACTTCTCGTACCTCAATGTGAGACTTCTTTGTCACCTTCTTTTTTGCATGAAATTTTCCAACTACGAGTGAATGAAAAGGAACTTAAATTTTGTTTTTTCGAGATTTGGAACTTTAGGAAAGGCAAATTAAATGTAATCGTCAGACTATCAATGATAGTGGCACTCATTTACAACGCAATTGGCTATGACAAATATTTATCAATCGACTTACCATCCGCTACAATTTTCTTTATGCCTTTCATCATTTCAGTATCCTTATCAAGACCATCAACGACACTACTGAACACATTAAAGATTCTCGATGAATGTGCACGAAACTCGACAGTATCCTTAATAAATTAATTTCAATCATTATTCAATAAATAAAATTGTAGATAAAATGGGAATAAAATGAGGGAGAAAGTAGGAATGAGAAAATGAAGGATAAATAGAAGTTAAAGTGGGGAATTTTTTTATTCAATAACTTACTTTAAGCTCCGCTAATGGTTTGTCTTTAAATGCTGGAAATTTCTGTTGATTGTGAGGAAATTTTTCAAGGAATGTGTAGAAAATTAAGGTTGCTGAATCGTGTGGCTGAAAATAATTAAAAACTTATAAATGTTGCTTAAAGGACATAAAGGACATAAAGTTTTTTGACAATGCAATTAAAAAATGTTTTGCAAATTCTTGAACTTGATATTGGATACGTTTTTCATTGCAATAGAACTTTGCATTTGTCTAAAATTTGAATCTAGAAATTTTATATCAAATTTTGATTTTCTTTTAAAAGATGATTCCTCGTTTTGCATTCACATTCAAAAAATATCCAGATACATCAGAATCTATAATTATTTAATATAAGTTACCAGCATATTTAACTTTCTCAATCCTCAATCCTCAAATCACATATTTTCATAATCCAATTAATTTTTATACATAAATTAATTTGAATTAGATTAGCAGACACAGAGGGTATGCATGCATAGTGTAAATAATATTTATTGTGTTTGAATAAAAATTTAGGTTTTGATATTTTACGTCTTAAGCTAAATGCTTCCAGTTACACCAATAAAGTGCTTAATAATTTGCATTAAAATTTAAATCAATAAAGATTTTCAATAATAGCTAATGGAAAATAAAATTTTATTGTCAAAGAAACCAGCATGATAATGATATTATTATCATATTGAGGATTTATGCTTATATTAATGAATGGTTTTTTTTGAATGGTAAAAACACGTCTCCGAATTTGAAAATAAATGATGTAAACATTTTTATGTCTTTTTAATTTATTCATGAAAAAATTATCTTTATAGTTCCTGATTGAAATCAAAAAGTTCATTTGGCTTTGCTTGCCTGTCGATGCTTGTTATCATTGATTCTAATTTGCATTTTTACAGACAGTATTTAAATAATGATCTAGGCTTAAATACTAACGGAACCGATCTAACGTTTTGAACAAAAAAACATAGCAAAAAAATTAAAAAATTTGGAATTTTCGAGGACCACTTAAAACATCAACAGACATTACTTTTTACATGTCACGTGTTCATTTCAAATATTTTTGTTCGCATCTTCAAGAAACGTTGTAAACAAAAACCAGTTTCTAGATATTACCATTCGATTAATGCTTTTTAAACTTCAACAAGTGTCTGGACGTAAAAAATAAACAAAGTTTATTTTGACGCGAAATGATAAAGGTTTCAAAGGTCTAGAATCTAGATAATATCGCTTAGATTGATAAAGAAGATAATAAACCTATTGGTTGAATTAATTTTTTCTTTTTTCATTGATTCAAATTTGGAATTTATTTGAGATTTTAAAAAATTTTGATTTTTATTTTTTTTATGTATTGAATTTGAATGAAGTTAAGTTTTCAAAATTGTAATATCAGACATAAATTTAATATTTGTAGCCACATATGCTAATAAATTGCAAATTAAATTTTAATTTAAAATTTTTGAAACTTTCGTGAAAATCGAATTTAAAATGCACTCAAGCCTTACAGCAGCAGCGGGAATTTTCCATGTCCTTTGAATATTTTCTACATCTGTTTCTGAAAGAGTAGCAATTTCTGGTGTTGGATAATTATTTTCACTTGTTGATACACTTTTATGAATTGTATTTCCCATTTTATTGTCTCTTTAAATTAAAATAATTAAATTAATTTAATAATTTACACCATAAAAATTAATTCTTTAAAAATTTTATAACTTGACGCATCGACGTTTGAAGCACAACTGAGAAAAACGCATTCCCGTGAGGAAAAAATGATATTTTTATTGAGTTTTTATTTTCATACGACAGTCGTAACACAAACACATAGGTATTGCCGTGAGAGAGAAGACACCACATTAGCAAAAGAAAAACGAGAATTATTGTAAATTTTTAAAGTAGCTTGACATGCTATGTCATACCTTCATTTCCCGAGTGGACAAAGTACTAGTTAAAAGCTTGCCATTGACTTGCCTTTTCACGGCGAGTAAGTATCCATTGACGTGCCTTTGCAACTAGACTTAGGGACGACTAATGACATATTTTGCGCTTTCCATTTAACTGGACATAGGAATTGCAAATATGTCTAGTTAATGTCCAGTTACAAAAAAATCGAAATAAAATAAATAACACGTGTCTTTTTCTCCATATTTTTTTCTTTTGTAAAATTTTATTATTGTATTAGTGTAATTAATTAATTAAAGTACACTATCACTTATGAAAAATCTCTAGTAAAAATTGAGTCTCGAACACTTGCGCGTGAAACAATTATATTTACTTAAAAGTTTCATACAAATTTTGGTGGACCTTATATAAGTGATTTCTGTAAGCACTTGTGAAGTATATGGTCAAAAAAGTAAGGAAAATTATTTTTGAGTTTCGAACACTTGATTGATTAGCATGAATGTCCAGTTAAAGTCTAGTTAACGTCGAGTTCTCTTTGTCGTATAAATTTTGGCAAGTTAAAAGACTGTTAAATGATTGTCCAATAATGGACTTCAACTGGCTGTGTCCACCCGGGTTTATCAATCAGATGATTATTTTATTTTCTATATTATAAAATAAGTATATCATGTTACATCAACCAAAAAATAAATTTTACATCGACACACACATTTACATGAATTTTATGGTCAATATGAAGGTTTTGGAGATGAAACTCTTTCGTTAAGCTTTACGAATTTTAAGCAACAAAAGCATATAATTTCCAATGCAGCATGTCTTGCAAACGATGAACGATTTATATTGTTGATGAGTTAATGTATAGCTATTGGGAAAACTGATAGTCGTTGCCATCAATGCACTCAAATAAAACATGGTAGATGATATCGAGTAGCTTACTCCATGCTACAATACCTGTGCGGATTTAATTGATATATGATTTGTGGTTTTTGTGGTTAATTAAAAAATTAATTTGTTATTAAATTTATTACCGTCATCATCAAGTTTACACATGTCTGTCAACGAGTCTAATATTACGATTCTTAGTTCAACATATGAGCGCTTCTTTATTTGTCGTTTTGCGTGAGATCTACCGACTAGAAAAAAAACAATTGATGATAATTATTTTATGGCTGAGAATTGAGTTAAGCAGATATTACCATCAGCAACAATTTTCTTAATTGCAATAAACTCTGGGTCTTTGTCAAGAGCATCAATAACACTAGAGAAAACGTTGAATATCCGTGAGGCATGAGCTCTGAATCCAGGCGTCCCCTGTAACAGATTGAATGTCTTATTTAACCACATCACAAGTTTCAGGAAAACTCCTTACCTTAAGCATCAATAATGGCGTATTTCTGAAAGCTTGAAAAACCTGTTGGTTGTCTGGAAACTTTTCCAAATAGGTATAAAATATCTTTTCGGCTGTATCATGTTGCTAGAGAAAATTCAAAATTGTTAAAACATAATTTTTGAAACACTTATTTCTCACCTTAATTGCTGGAACCTTCCAAGTTCTCTGAATAAGATCAATCTCATCAAAAGTTAATTCACAAATTTCTGGAGTGGAATAATTATCGTAATCTCTGGCACGTCTCTTAATAACATTACCCATAACTGGAATTTTTCTGTTCTTACTAAAAGTTTGAAAACAAAATGTAGCAAAACTGCAAAATGCATGCAACCTGATGAGCGATTGTCCTTAAAATAAAATAACAGAAGCAAGTCAATCGATAAAATGGAAGAAAATGTTCATCGGACTGACGATGTTAATAATAATTATCAATATTTTTTGCAGGTCTCTCGTGCCATCTAACCTCTCATTCTTCATTATTCTATCGTTTATGTGGGCCACGAGCATGAAATAAAATTCCTTGTTGATTATCATAAAAGTGTTGCTTTTGCTTTTGGGAAGGAGATGATTAAAAGTAGGAAAATTCATTTCATGATAACATCTAATTCTCAATTAAATTTTATCACCCTCTTTTGTAAACTGTTGCGTCTATTAATTCCTTCGAACAAAAGTGAAGATTATTTTGACTGTCGATTATCACAATTAGATATGACATGTTGAAGTTGTTCGAGAAGTTTGATATATGGTGACAGTGAAAGGTTCTAGAAAGCATTAAAGACATGAAGTAATAGCAACACTGACATTTTAATGCAGTTTTCTATTTGGTAATCTAGCTAATCAAGTGAGATAGTTCATTCGAGTATCTGTCTTTTCATCAGTTCGTTGACTTGGTGAGCAATGTCAAAACATTTTTAATATACTGGAAAAAACTATGATTACAGTAACCTTGTTGTGAGAACAATTCAATAATTATTCATATTCGTGATTATTAACCATAAAGCGAAAGTTCTGTAATAAAAAGGATATAACAATGGAATTGGTAAGTCCTTAAGTGCAAATGAAATATTGTTATTGAATTATTTACGACTTTTTCAATTGTATCCTTAAAATATCCTCAATAACTGTAATTTCCTATTTTGAGTTACGTCATTATGTAAAAGAAAATTCGAACTACTTATTTCTATCTCAATCAAGGATGAAATAACTCTTGAAATCCCGAATCCTCAATCAATTAACGAAAATTCAACTGAAACTGTTTCATCATCAGAAACGATTCTTTGGTATAATGATCGAAAAGCTATGCATATTCAATATTTCATTGATTCCGGAAATAATAAGCCTTGTTTGAGAATCAAATTTACAGAAGATCCGATTCATAATTTTCGTGTCACAATGAAACAAGTTTTCGCAAACGGAAGAACTAAAATCCTTGATATTGAAGATATTCCTTTGGAAAGAATAATTGGAGATGAAGAGCATCTTTACATCAAGAAAAATGGCATGGATGATTTAGAAGAAGGAAGTGAGTTTCGTTTTGTATGTGATGTTAAGTTAACTCTAGCAGACAAGACACTTATAAGTAAGTTTTCGAACAGTACTTATGAAAATTTGACGAGAGTAGCACACGATGAGAAATTTCACGATTTCACCATAAAATTCAAAGATGGAAAGGAACTTAAAGTAGTCAAATTTATTCTTGCTTCCAAAAGCCGAGTTTTTCTTAAAATGTTTACCACAAACATGCTTGAGAGTAAGACAAATGAAATGTTCATTCCTGATGTCGATTTTGAAGTCATGAAGGTTGCTGTGAATTTCATGAATAATGGAGGAACTGAAGGTCTTGATTTTCATATCTTTGATGTATTGATTATGGCTGATAAATATGAAATTTTTGAACTGAAAAGACACTGCGAGGTGAAAGTATCAAATGGATTGACTACTAAAATTATTGCTGATGTTCTTCTTTTTGCTTATCGCTATAATGCTGATTTTTTAAAGAAGGAAAGCATCTTATTTATTCAAAGGTCATTAGGAATTAATTAATTTTTCATGGATTAGCTAACACGATTTTATCTTTGAATTTCAGCAACTGGGATGCCATTAAAGGATTAGAAGAATTCAAATGTATTTACACCTACTCTGATTTAATATTAGACATTTTCGAGACATTCAATATCAGCAACTATCCTATTAAGAGTGTCATATCCAATTTGTAATTAAAATTCTTCAGTAAATAAATTTGAGCAATGTGTTTTTTTTTATTGGTTTTTTTTTCATATATAAGCTTTTTCAAACTAATTTATATTTTACATGTAATTTTGTATAATTTGGTATTTACGTTATATTGTCACTACCATTAATGGCTTCATAAAGATCTTAAGCTTCATTTTAAATCTACTAATTGAAACTTGCTTTTTTATAAGCGGGTAGCTGATTAAAACAATCTAGAGCTCTTATGAAGAAATTTGAATAGCAGAATATCGTACTGTAACTAGGCATTACCAGTAAATCTCTTGTTTGTGTAGGATAATTGTGAATTTCATGAACATATTGAAGCGCAATATTAATTGTTGTTGATGATTTTAAACATGAGGAGATTTGAGGAAAGATTGCATAGGGATGAAACTGATAGAATCTGTCGAGAGTACAGTTCCGTTCGGCTACAATCTCAATTTTTTTTTAAATACAACTCGTAGTGCTTTTCTCTGTGCAATTTCAACCGATTCTATTAAATATTTCGGAGCCGCTGACCATACCGGACTCATATACATAATACGTGATTGGATTCATCCATAATACATAAGAAGAGCAGTCTTTTCTGTGATTAGATGGTGGATCCTTCGAAGAGCAAACATGTGAACTTAAAGAGAATTTTTATTTCTCTCACGAGAATTTCTTTTTGAATCGTAGCCTCTCACGTTCAGGGTCCGACAATGTAGAATTTACATCATCCCTGCCACTTTATTTACACAACTTATCACTATCAAAAAATTCCATCAAATATTGAATATTTACCATTGAATCTCAATAATTTTACAACAAAACCTTGTGCCTTATGTGTCTTAAACATCCTTGCTATGAAAGCCTCAACAAGTTTGCCGCATCAAAGCCGGGTAAGTAAATTTTTGATGATTTCATGTCAACTCCTTTATGAATTTTTAATCAATATTTTTCAGCACGCATTATTTACGGCATATTATTAGTAATTGCTGTTGCTTTTGGATGTGTAAGACTTTTACAAGCATCAAATGACTTACATGCTTCAAAAAATGCCAAACTTGCAATAGTTCCAGAATTCAAGGGCAATCTAATTCATTTTGATCCGAAAGATCATGGAAGTATTGAGAGAATCACGTCTAAAATTGATGAAGTTTATGACAGTATGTAAACAAGAGATGCTTCTGGATATTCGCATACTAATTATTGATTGAAAATATTTTTAGCGTATCATAATGACAACCTTAACCTTTATAATTGCGATGAAGATAAACTTCCTTCTGAAGGAAAGTCGTGTAATGTAGATTGGCGTGAGTTCGGACCATGCAATAAAGAAAACTCTTACGGATATCAAAAAGGAACTCCTTGTGTCTTCCTGAAATTTAGAAAGCTTCGTGATTGGGTGCCAAATTATTTAAATGCAACTGATCTTCCTGTCAATATGCCGATGTATTTAAAGGACTCTATTGTAAACAGCCCATACCCTAATCAGGTACGCGTCTTTATATTTTTTTGATGACAGTAAATTAATTTTATTTTATGTTCTATAGAGGGTAATTTGGGTTTCGTGTGAAGGAGAAAACCCAGCGGATTTAGAAAATATTGGACCGGTTATTTACTATCCGAGTCGTGGATTCCCTCACTATTTCTTTCCCTATAAAGGTCAAGATGGATATTTAGAACCTATTATTGCACTTTATTTCGAACGTCCTATAAGTAAGTATCTTTATGTGCATTTGTCGTAATTATTTTAATTTTGAAATTTTTAATTCTATCAGCTGGAATCGTAGTATCTGTTAAATGCACTCTATGGACCCAAGGATCACAAGAACATACCAACTTTGAAATACTTGTTGAATAGATTTTATGAAACTATTTAGAGATATTTGGATTAATTTATTTATTATGAAATTCTACAACTCACTCGATGTACTTATAGAATCTCACGCTAACGTACAATATTTAAAAGAACATTATTTACTTTATACAGCTTGCTTATAAAGACCAAAACAGAAGCTAAAATATTTTTTGCAGTTACTCGATGCATCTGTCCACAATCAGTACCAATAAACACTAGTGTTATCATAGAGCATAAAATGCCGATTTTTTTATAATCATGTACATTAGAGGAATACTGAAATCAACAGATTGATAAATTTACAATGATTGAATTTAACTGAAATTAAGCATTTTGTTTGACAACAAATATCATATGGTTCTCGTAAATTGAGCATACACAAAAAAAATTTATCATATTTCTCTCTTCTTTAAGTTACCTCCCAAAAATAGTCAACCGTCCCTGCCATTTAATTTACATTCTGAATTTTTTTTGGCAATTTTCCTAAATACTTAAAATATTCCATCGAATCTCAATAATTAAACATTAAATTTTGCTCCTGTTGTGCCTTCAACATGCCTTTAATTGATACACAAAACAAGATTCTTGCATCAAAGCCAGGTTTGAGAATTTGGTAACTTAATTTATAACCTTTATAGAAATTCACTATTAATTTCTTTTAAGGTCGTATTATTCTTGGCATTTTGGTTATAGCCATCGTGGCTCTTGGTTGTGTTGCGGTTTTTCAAACATCGTATGACGTCCACTCCAAACTTGAATTAATTCCAGATACAAATGACCGTTTGATCAGCTATACTACGAAATCTAATGAAGAATTTGAAAAATATACAGTCAAAATGAATCAGTTTATTAATTGTAAACAACATCTAATTAATATTAATTGCCATTAATTAATTTTTATATATTTAGCATACAATATCCATAGCGAAAATAGAAACATTTATAATTGCGATGACGATCACCTCCCACCAAGAGACAATGTTTGTGATGTAAATATAAGGAATCTAGGTCCATGTACTAAGGAAAACTATTATTCCTACCACAAAAGTTCTCCTTGTGTATTTCTGAAAATCAAAAAAACTCCGCTTTGGGAACCAAAATATGTCAATGCATCTGATCCTCCAGAAAAAATGCCTGAATATTTAAAAAATTACATTGCAAGTGAATCAATTCAAAAAAAGGTAAATTTTATCATTGTTTAAAGTAGAAATAATCTAAAAGCAAAGCTTGTATATTTATAGAAAGCAGTTTGGGTATCTTGTGAAGGTGAAAATGATGCCGATAAAGAGAACATTGGACCAATGTCTTACTTTCCAAGCTTTGGAGTCCCGCACTACTATTTTCCGTATACAAATCAACAAGGATATTTAGAGCCATTTGTTGCTGTACATTTTGAACGTCCCACTCGTAAGTTTGTTACAAATTTTAAAAAATAATTTTGGAAATTTCATTTAAATTCTCTTCTTTAAAGGTGGAGTTGTAATATTCATAAAATGTCAAATTTGGACTCAGGATTCAAATGATTTTGCTAGTTTTGCCTTGTATCTTCAATAAAATCAATCAGAAATGAACAATACTCGAAAATTAAGATCACCAATGAAATCTCATTTTAACTCAATTAATAAAAAAAAAATTGTTTGACATAATTAACATCTACATTAGTACCTTAAACAAGTCTCAACTACCTTACAATAAACTTTTAATAGCAATTTTTTTAAATAAAGTTTTAAAATCAATTAAGTCAAAGTGTTTTTAATCGGAAGTTTCTTACACAGAAAAAATAGATTTTTTAAAAATTTTAAGGACAAAAACCTTTCAAATTTAATTAAAATTTGTATAATTCGACTCGCAAGTTTTCATAACTTTTAAGAAAGCACTCAATGATAATTCAGCAATATATTTTGTAATAAAATATTTACTAGAATTTAGTGATTGAATCATTAGCTTGACTAAACATCTATCTGATTTCTTTAATGTATCAAATTTTTTATCATTTAAGAAACTTTTATAATTTTCATCATTATATTCAATTAATTCTAATTTATCAGGATATTCTAGTTCCAGTAGATTTATAATTATTCTTTTTTGGTCATCAGTTTCGAAAATTACTTCTGGGTTTCGTTTGATATCAATGATATGCATTTTCTCGGCGAAAATCAGTCCTTTGTAGTTTTCAAAACCCTTGAAGTTTTGATATTTTGCTTTTATAATTTCAAGTTCCGATTTTGTGAAAATTTGTCTAATAAGAAATTCTTTTGAAAGATCAACATCGAACTGATACCCTGGAATTCCTGCCAATCTTCTAGTCAAGAATAGGCAGTATTTATACGATAGAAATGGAATGTGATATTTTAATCCATCGCAAAGAGCTTGACCAAGCTTCTGAAATATTTTCGTCTCCATTTGAAGTAAAGGATTGAAGAAATATCGGATTTGGATGTGACATATCCTGTTGAAACTTGATATAATAAGAGTGTCTTAAAAAATAAAAAAGGAACTTACATTTCAACAACTACAAACTTGTGCAAACACATGTTGTATTCATCTTTTATGCCTAACATGCTTGTTATTACAGCCCACATATGAACGTATGCTTCACGGTCTTCTTTAGAATCATATTTGATGCCTAATAATTGTGGTTTTATCAGCGCATATCCCATAAATCCAAAAGTTGTAAAAGACATGAACATTTGTGAAATTCCCAATCCACCCTTAATAAGTGAAGCATTTGAAGCTGATAAATGCATTTTTCGGACTTTTTTGAGGGATTTCCATGACCTTAAAATGATAGAAAAATTAAAAAGCTATCTCGCATTAAAAGTTTGAATTCACCTTGATTCATAAGATAATTCCTCAGTGCACCATAAAAGTACATGCAAAATTGTTCTTACGTATCGTTTACGAGCTAAACTAGCTGTACTTGAATAATTGGTGTTGTCAAGGAATTTTGCTCCATTAGGTTCACAAATTAAAGAAAATAATCCACACAAGTTTGATAGGAGAATTCCGAAACGATTTTCAGCAAAATACTTTTGACCACTGAAAAAAATTAATTCAGTTTTAGAGGATTTTAAATGAAGAACTTAGATATCTTTTTTACCGTTTAAACTTTGCTTCATCAAAAAAGTCGGGAATTTTGAAAACTTGTTCATTAAAACTTTCATCACAAGGTTCTGAAAGCTGAAGTCCTTTTAACAAGACATTTAAAATAAATAATTTGGCTTCTGAAAGGAATAATTTTGGAAGATACCAGATTCATATTAAATCATCAGAACTAACCTCTCTCTGTCGAATTTAAATTTAAATTTTCTTTCATTGCGGATTAAAGAACTCGTGCAACTAAAGTTGTGATTGCTCGAAAATATTTTAAAGGCACTTAATTTTTAATAATTATTGCATATTTTAATAGCTATAATTAAATCACGATTTTAAGTTTTCAAGGTTTTAAGATTTAAAACCTTTATTTAAAACTTGTAGACTAGCCCTTTTCCAGAGGCTTACCCTGAAGAAACTTAAAGCTCTGTGCTTGTTCTTTTCACTTTCAGCAATTTAGATTATTTACAACTTTATATATCTTTAAAAATCTATCAAAATTTAGCAGCACGTTTTATTATTTTTTAAAAGAAAGCTTCAATAATGACACTTTTTTCCTGTTTCGCATTAAACTTGGCAAGAAGCTTTGAACTTTTTCCAGCTTCTTGTTTATCATAAATTCGTTTGGTTTTCAACACTCTGACTTCAATGTGCGTAGAATTTTAAAGTGAACGGAGTGAAATGAAAACCTTAGTTTTTATTGTTTGGTTTATTTTTGTGACAGGTAGGTCAAAAATTAAAATTATTATGCTACATAGTAATGTTATAGGTCAATTTAATCATAATTAAACAAATTTAAAAATTAAGTTTTTCAACCTGTTCCCAATTCGTGGTTATATTTGTTCTTACGTAATTAGACTTTTAATTAAAGCCAAATAAAAATATTTGTTCAGCTGGACTTCAAAAAAATAAAATTGCTTGTCCAAAAGCAGATTAAAATGTTTTCAGCTATAATTTTAAGAAAAACTATTTGTCTTAAAAGAGCTATTTTTAACTTCTAGAAAATTTATAACTGCTGTTTTCGTTCCTTATCTTGATATTGTATTAACACGCGTAAATAAAATAAAGGAAAAGAAAAATATTTTCATCTGTTCAAACAGTTTTTATCTTTAGGTATTCTGATTTGCTAAATATAAATGAACTTAAATAAAAAAATTACTTTTAAAAAATCTAATTTTCAAAGGCTGCGTGTGCTTAGGGAGAGACACAGAAAATTATAATCTCATTCGTAAAGTTGCTCGAAAAGCTAAAAGATGCTACCCGATTTCCAATTTTTCAACAAGTTCTATAAAATACACGACCAATGGACTGAGTTCAACTCAAACGACCTACTCAAACATTTCATCCACAACAACTGGTTCCACTCAAGCGCCTACGACTCCTTCAGCAGCTTCATGGCCTTCAAATCAAGTTCTTAGAGAACAAATTTCACAAGCAATTTTGAAATTTGGAGGAAATCTATCGGTTTCTGAATATCAAGGATTAATGGATACATCTCGAGATTTGAATACTTTCATGCAATATTGGAACTCTACTCAAATGTTAATACTAACTCCAATTATTGGTCAAATTATAGTATCTCAGGCTGCAATTCACAACTCATCAAGTCCTATCGCATCTATAACATACGATGCAGACGCACAGCAAAATATTACTCTTGCATTACAGGAATATGCACCAAATATGACTCCTGATGACATCCAATTCGTGATCACCACTTTACAAACAATGAGTACAATAGCTGTTAATTCTTTGACTCTCGACGAACTGACACAAATGGCTCAAGCTTGTGCAAATGCATTTATAAATAATACACTGGTTAATGGACCTATAGAAACCACAACTGTTTCATCCACAACAACTAGTTCCACTCAAGCGCCTACGACTCCTTCAGCAGCTTCATGGCCTTCAAATCAAGTTCTTAGAGAACAAATTTCACAGGCAATTTTGAAATTTGGAGGAAATCTATCGGTTTCTGAATATCAAGGATTAATGGATACATCTCGAGATTTGAATAATTTCATGCAATATTGGAACTCTACTCAAATGTTAATACTAACTCCAATTATTGGTCAAATTATAGTATCTCAAGCTGCAATTCATAACTCATCAAGTCCTATCACATCTATAACATACGATGCAGACGCACAGCAAAATATTACTCTTGCATTACAGGAATATGCACCAAATATGACTCCTGATGACATCCAATTCGTGATCACCACTTTACAAACAATGAGTACAATAGCTGTTAATTCTTTGACTCTCGACGAACTGACACAAATGGCTCAAGCTTGTGCTAATGCATTTATAAATAATACACTGGTTAATGGACCTATAGAGACCACAACTGTTTCATCCACAACAACTAGTTCCACTCAAGCGCCTACCACTCCTTCAGCAGCTTCATGGCCTTCAAATCAAGTTCTTAGAGAACAAATTTCACAGGCAATTTTGAAATTTGGAGGAAATCTATCGGTTTCTGAATATCAAGGATTAATGGATACATCTCGAGATTTGAATACTTTCATGCAATATTGGAACTCTACTCAAATGTTAATACTAACTCCAATTATTGGTCAAATTATAGTATCTCAAGCTGCAATTCATAACTCATCAAGTCCTATCACATCTATAACATACGATGCAGACGCACAGCAAAATATTACTCTTGCATTACAGGAATATGCGCCAAATATGACTCCTGATGACATCCAATTCGTGATCACCACTTTACAAACAATGAGTACAATAGCTGTTAATTCTTTGACTCTCGACGAACTGACACAAATGGCTCAAGCTTGTGCTAATGCATTTATAAATAATACACTGGTTAATGGACCTATAGAGACCACAAATGTTTCATCCACAACAACTAGTTCCACTCAAGCGCCTACGACTCCTTCAGCAGCTTCATGGCCTTCAAATCAAGTTCTTAGAGAACAAATTTCACAAGCAATTTTGAAATTTGGAGGAAATCTATCGGTTTCTGAATATCAAGGATTAATGGATACATCTCGAGATTTGAATAATTTCATGCAATATTGGAACTCTACTCAAATGTTAATACTAACTCCAATTATTGGTCAAATTATAGTATCTCAAGCTGAAATTCATAACTCATCAAGTCCTATCACATCTATAAAATACGATGCAGACGCACAGCAAAATATTACTCTTGCATTACGGGAATATGCGCCAAATATGACTCCTGATGACATCCAATTCGTGATCACCACTTTACAAACAATGAGTACAATAGCTGTTAATTCTTTGACTCTCGACGAACTGACACAAATGGCTCAAGCTTGTGCTAATGCATTTATAAATAATACACTGGTTAATGGACCTATAGAAACCACAACTGTTTCATCCACAACAACTAGTTCCACTCAAGCGCCTACGACTCCTTCAGCAGCTTCATGGCCTTCAAATCAAGTTCTTAGAGAACAAATTTCACAGGCAATTTTGAAATTTGGAGGAAATCTATCGGTTTCTGAATATCAAGGATTAATGGATACATCTCGAGATTTGAATACTTTCATGCAATATTGGAACTCTACTCAAATGTTAATACTAACTCCAATTATTGGTCAAATTATAGTATCTCAAGCTGCAATTCACAACTCATCAAGTCCTATCACATCTATAACATACGATGCAGACGCACAGCAAAATATTACTCTTGCATTACAGGAATATGCACCAAATATGACTCCTGATGACATCCAATTCGTGATCACCACTTTACAAACAATGAGTACAATAGCTGTTAATTCTTTGACTCTCGACGAACTGACACAAATGGCTCAAGCTTGTGCAAATGCATTTATAAATAATACACTGGTTAATGGACCTATAGAAACCACAACTGTTTCATCCACAACAACTAGTTCCACTCAAGCGCCTACGACTCCTTCAGCAGCTTCATGGCCTTCAAATCAAGTTCTTAGAGAACAAATTTCACAGGCAATTTTGAAATTTGGAGGAAATCTATCGGTTTCTGAATATCAAGGATTAATGGATACATCTCGAGATTTGAATACTTTCATGCAATATTGGAACTCTACTCAAATGTTAATACTAACTCCAATTATTGGTCAAATTATAGTATCTCAAGCTGCAATTCATAACTCATCAAGTCCTATCACATCTATAACATACGATGCAGACGCACAGCAAAATATTACTCTTGCATTACAGGAATATGCACCAAATATGACTCCTGATGACATCCAATTCGTGATCACCACTTTACAAACAATGAGTACAATAGCTGTTAATTCTTTGACTCTCGACGAACTGACACAAATGGCTCAAGCTTGTGCAAATGCATTTATAAATAATACACTGGTTAATGGACCTATAGAGACCACAACTGTTTCAACATCTTCTACTACAAGTACGACAGTTCCAATTGTTACAACTTCAACACTAAGTCCAGCAATAAATCAGCAATTAACAAATTCTATTAGTAGCTTGGCACCGGGTCTAAATCAAACTCAAATTCAGAACCTCTTACACGCTATCCAAGTTCTGGCTAACACTTATTACTTCACTCCTGCTCAAACAATTGTAGTTGCACCAGGTCTAAGTTTATTCTTTATGTATCACTCAGGATCATCAGTCGCAATTAATGGAACAACTGCTGTTTACACTGACGCTGACGTTTTAAGCATTGTTACATTTTTCAATACTTGGGTGCCTGCAATGACTAGTGAAGAAATTCAAAATTATATTACTAATATGAAACTTTTGAGTTATTATTCACAAGGTGTCACTCCTTTAGAAGCACTTAGCTTGGCACCAGCTCTTTCTCAAATATTCATTAACCAGGCATCAGCCCAAACTGCTGCTCCTTAAAAAAAATGTCCAACAGAAAATATACAGAATTAATTTTTATTTGTTTGAAGTAGAATTTCAATTTAAAAGTCGATTTTTAAAGATCATATTGCTAAATTTTGAAAAAACATTTTTTTGTTAAATATATTTGCCTTCTAATTGTCAAAACTGAATACGTTAATAAATTGTTTTAATGCATTGTTTGAATTTTAAATTTTGGGGGTGAGGCATCAAACGGAATAGCAGACAGGAGCACACACAGAATAATGAACAAACTTTTAATAAAATTCGACATTAATACATCTTCATCCTGGCGTAAGGGGACAAACTTTTTTTTTGACATGATGCATAAGCAGTAGGCGCAAATTCAAGAAAAAAAGCTTTACAAGCTTTCCTGAACTGATATATAGTTCTAAGAGCAGTAAAACATTTGCATAGATTTTTTATTCCTTAAATGTCTCTTGAAAGCTTTTTTTTTCAAATTTTTGTATTTATACACCAGCAATATGCTCATGATCTTCAAAAAAGTAAAACAATTTAAAGTGATAACATGAATTCGTATCTTTACATTGCATGTATTGTTATTATTATTGGTAAGTTGTAATTTTTGTAATTTTAATAAATTAATGATCTCAAGAAATGAGAATAAAACGCAAAACCTTAATATATCTTTTAAAATATCATATTGTTTGCCAATAGGCACAACACAAACCATACTTTTAACTAGATTTAAGCGCACTTATTCATATATTTTATATTTCTCTTTTGCATAAATGCAAAAAACTTATTAAAATATTCATAATTTAGTTCTTAATTATTTAATTAATCAGTCTATATTTTATTAAATTATATTTTGCTTGATATATTTCAAAAGTTCAGCTTTATTCATCTTAAAAGTGATTCTTACTTTATAATTGTTGATTTCATTGATACGATGACATCCAAGTTATGGTTAATTTTGTCTTTACAGACAGATTGGATTTTGTCTATACAGTCAGATTGTTTATGTCCTTACGGACGGTTGATTTTTGCAACTCTGCACAATTGCCATGACTAGAACATCGAAAAAGCACATAATATAAAACTAAACATTCCCTGGCAATCGAACGAACAGGGTCTTTAGGGGTTGATTGGTCAAGACTCTAACCACCACTCCATAGCTGGTTTTTTGCTGCTTGAATTCAAATACAGTAATAATTAAAAAAATTGAACTTATCAATATAGTAAAAATAAGGACTTAGTCATCTTTCTAGAGTATTACAATTGTTTAAGTTATTAATAAACTTTTTCAAGACATTTTCAACTGTTCAAATATACATTTATCCAGAAAAAGTCATCGTGTTAACATAAATTATGCCTTATTATAAGTAACATATATGAAATTTGAACAATATTAAGCTACAAATTTAGCAAAACTGCAAAATAATGCTTGGTATGCACTCTGAAAATTGTGTTCAAGTCGCCAAAGTTTGATGAACTGTCAGTCTCAAAAATATTTTGCAGTATATTGAACCTACTTTCGATAAAGTTAATTTTAGATTCCAGACTTTGTTTAAAGATCTGTTTAAACTTCTCGATATTTGTGAGAAAACAAGAGCGTTCAATATGAAAATAACAATATTTATTAATAGCAAAATAGGTTCAAGTCGTCTGAATATGGTTTCATTTGTTCAAACAAGTTCATGAACTTCGGAATTTTTTTTCCTACAAGAGAATTTTAGTTTTAAAATTTTAATACATATAATTACTTATAGGTTGCGTCAGTACCAATCCAAATCAACAAAAAACTCGAAAGAATAAACCACGACGATGCTTCCCAGTACTCCAAACTACACCATATCCTAAATCAACAACTCCTTTTGCATTACCATGGGCATCAAATCAAGAATTAAGAGAAGAAACATCGAAAGCAATTTTACAATATGGCGGAAAACTTACATCATCTGAATATCAAGCAATAATGGATACATCAAATGAAATAAATATTTTCACCCAATATTTTGACTGTACTCAAGCATCAAAATTGATACCATTCATCGGCGAGACAATAGTTTCACAAGCTGCTATTCACAACTCATCAAACCTTCCAATAGATTCTATTACATATTGCAAAGAAGTTCAAAAAAACATCACTGAAACATTCTTGCAATATGCACCAAACATGTCCGAAGATGAAATCCAATATGTTATTGATACTCTCCAAAAAATGAGTACGATTACAGTAAATTCTATGACTTACGATGAATTAACTGAAATGGCTGAAGCTTGTGTTTCTGCTTTTGTAAATAATACATTGGTTAATGGACCTATAGAGACTACAACTGTTTCAACATCCACAACTACTAAGTCCTGCAGTAAATCAACAAATAGGAAGTCTAAAAAGTAGTGTTGCACTTACTGAAACTCAAATTCAGAACCTTATAACCTTAACTGCCGTTTTCATTTTTCAATACTTGGGTGCCTACAATGACCAGTGAAGGTATTCAAAAAATTATTAAATATGAAAACTTAAAGTTTTTATTCACAAGTTGTTACTCTTTTAAAGCACTTAGCTTTATATCGAACTGTTCCTCGAAAATTTTTTTTTCTTAAATTCCAATGTTGAATTATCTTGTTGCTACTTTTATTTTAATTAAATAAACATTTAAAATTTTGCGTTTTTAATAATTATTACATATCAATTTATCAATTGAACATCTTTAAAGTTTTAAATTTCAGAAATTCCAATTTTTCTTTAAACTTTGAACATGTCAATTCATAGCTAGAAGGAGCAAATGACTAGTCATCTTACTAGTAAAAAGTTTTGTTTTTTCATTATTTAAGTATAAACCAAAGCGTAGACACTGGAATTAATCCCAATAATCCCAAATAACCCCAATAATCCCAAATATCCCAATAATCCCAGGTTTGGGAATATTGGGATTATTTAAATAATTTTAAAATTTTTCAAATTTAAAATTTATTAAATGTTAAAATTTTGACTAGTATTGTCAAGAATAATGCCCCCAAAAATCTTTGGATACATTTTAAGTTCAGAATATTAATATAAAAATTATCTAAAGTATTTAAATTTAACTTTACATGCTTTACTATGATTATGTGTAATATTTTGTCAGCATGTAGCTAAAGTAAGCTCAGAATTTTAAGTTTCTGCCGATTTTTCTATCAAAAAAATTACAAAAGTCCTCGTGTTATTGATCGAGGGACTTCAGCGCATTTTTGACGAAGCGATCAGTATTTGATTATCTAATTATTTTGCGTTCATTTACAGATCATTAGAAGATGATGCAAAGGTTGCAATAATATTCGACTTAGATTTTAACCTTCAAATTGTTAAGTTTTGGAGCCAAAAAGTTCAAATTTTGTTGTCAAATGAAACTTTAATGTTTATTGCAAAGGTTGGAATAATATTCGACTTAGATTCTAACCTTCAAATTGTTGAGTTCTGGACCAAAAAGTTCAAATTTTGTTGTCAAATGAAACTTTAATAATTATTGCAAAGGTTGCAATAATCTTCGACTTAGATTCTAACCTTCAAATTGTTGAGTTTTAGCGCTTTAATAATTATTGCAAAGGTTGCAATAATATTCGACTTAGATTCTAACCTTCAAATTGTTGAGTTTTGGACCAAAAAGTTCAAATTTTGTTGTCAAATGAAACTTTAATAATTATTGCAAAAGTGGCAATAATATTCGACTTAGATTTTAACCTTCAAATTGTTAAGTTTTGGAGCCAAAAGTTCAAATTTTGTTGTCAAATGAAACTTTAATCATTATTGCAAAGGTTGCAATAATATTTGACTTAGATTCTAACCTTCAAATTGTTGAGTTTTAGCGCTTTAATAATTATTGCAAAGGTTGCAATAATATTCGACTTAGATTCTAACCTTCAAATTGTTGAGTTTTGGAGCCAAAAAGTTCAAATTTTGTTGTCAAATTAAACTTTAATAATTATTGCAAAGGTTGCAATAATATTCGACTTAGATTCTAACCTTTAAATTGTTGAGTTTTGGAGCCAAAAAGTTCAAATAACGTTGTCAAATGAAACTTTAATAATTATTGCAAATGTTGCAATAATATTCGACTTAGATTCTAACCTTCAAATTGTTGAGTTTTGGAGCCAAAAAGTTCAAATAACGTTGTCAAATGAAACTTTAATAATTATTGCAAATGTTGCAATAATATTCGACTTAGATTCTAACCTTCAAATTGTTGAGTTTTGGAGCCAAAAAGTTAAAATTTTGTTGTCAAATGAAACTTTAATAATTATTGCAAAAGTTGCAATAATATTCGACTTAGATTTTAACCTTCAAATTGTTAAGTTTTGGAGCCAAAAGTTCAAATTTTGTTGTCAAATGAAACTTTAATCATTATTGCAAAGGTTGCAATAATATGTGACTTAGATTCTAACCTTCAAATTGTTGAGTTTTAGCGCTTTAATAATTATTGCAAAGGTTGCAATAATATTCGACTTAGATTCTAACCTTCAAATTGTTGAGTTTTGGAGCCAAAAAGTTCAAATTTTGTTGTCAAATTAAACTTTAATAATTATTGCAAAGGTTGCAGTAATATTCGACTTAGATTCTAACCTTTAAATTGTTGAGTTTTGGAGCCAAAAAGTTCAAATTTTGTTGTCAAATGAAACTTTAACAATTATTGCAAAGGTTACAGTAATATTAAATATAGATTTTAAGCTTCAAATGGTTAAGTTTTGGAGCTGAAAAGTTCAAATTTTGTGATCTAAGGAAACTTTAATAATTATTGCAAAGGTTGCAGTAATATTCAATTTAGATTTTAAGCTTCAAATGGTTAAGTTTTGGAGCTGAAATGTTCAAATTTTGTGATCTAAGGAAACTTTAATAATTATTGCAAAGGTTGCAGTAATATTCAATTTAGATTTTAAGCTTCAAATGGTTAAGTTTTGGAGCCAAAAAAAAGTTCAAATTTTGTTGTCAAATGAAACTTTAACAATTATTGCAAAGGTTACAGTAATATTAAATTTAGATTTTTAGCTTCAAATGGTTAAGTTTTGGAGCTGAAAAGTTCAAATTTTGTGATCTAAGGAAACTTTAATAATTATTGCAAAGGTTGCAGTAATATTCAATTTTGATTTAAGATTCAAATGACTAAGTTTTGGAGCTCATAATTTCAAATTTTGTTGTCAAATTAAACTTTAATAATTATTGCAAAGGTTGCAATAATATTCGACTTAGATTCTAACCTTTAAATTGTTGATTTTTAGAGCCAAAAATTTCAAATTTTGTTGTCAAATGAAACTTTAACAATTATTGCAAAGGTTACAGTAATATTAAATTTAGATTTTAAGCTTCAAATGGTTAAGTTTTGGAGCTGAAAAGTTCAAATTTTGTGATCTAAGGAAACTTTAATAATTATTGCAAAGGTTGCAGTAATATTCAATTTAGATTTTAAGCTTCAAATGGTTAAGTTTTGTAGCTGAAATGTTCAAATTTTGTGATCTAAGGAAACTTTAATAATTATTGCAAAGGTTGCAGTAATATTCAATTTTGATTTAAGATTCAAATGACTAAGTTTTGGAGCTCATAATTTCAAATTTTGTGATCTAAGAAAACTTTAATAATTATTGAAAAGGTTGCAGTAATATTCAATTTAGATTTTAAGCTTCAAATGGTTAAGTTTTGGAGCTGAAATGTTCAAATTTTGTGATCTAAGGAAACTTTAATAATTATTGCAAAGGTTGCAGTAATATTCAATTTAGATTTTAAGCTTCAAACGGTTAAGTTTTGGAGCTGAAATGTTCAAATTTTGTGATCTAAGGAAACTTTAATAATTATTGCAAAGGTTGCAGTAATATTCAATTTAGATTTTAAGCTTCAAATGGTTAAGTTTTGGAGCCAAAAAAAAGTTCAAATTTTGTTGTCAAATGAAACTTTAATAATTATTGCAAAGGTTGCAATAATATTAGACTTAGATTTTAACCTTCAAATTGTTAAGTTTTGGAGCCAAAAAGTTCAAATTTTGTTGTCAAATGAAACTTTAATAATTATTGCAAAGGTTGCAATAATCTTCGACTTAGATTCTAACCTTCAAATTGTTGAGTTTTGGAGCCAAAAAGTTCAAATTTCGTTGTCAAATGAAACTTTAATAATTATTGCAAAGGTTGCAATAATATTAGACTTAGATTTTAACCTTCAAATTGTTATGTTTTGGAGCCAAAAAGTTCAAATTTTGTTGTCAAATGAAACTTTAATATTTATTGCAAAGGTTGCAATAATATTCGACTTAGATTCTAACCTTCAAATTGTTGAGTTTTGGAGCTGAAATGTTCAAATTTTGTGATCTAAGGAAACTTTAATAATTATTGCAAAGGTTGCAGTAATATTCAATTTAGATTTTAAGCTTCAAACGGTTAAGTTTTGGAGCTGAAATGTTCAAATTTTGTGATCTAAGGAAACTTTAATAATTATTGCAAAGGTTGCAGTAATATTCAATTTAGATTTTAAGCTTCAAATGGTTAAGTTTTGGAGCCAAAAAAAAGTTCAAATTTTGTTGTCAAATGAAACTTTAATAATTATTGCAAAGATTGCAATAATATTAGACTTAGATTTTAACCTTCAAATTGTTAAGTTTTGGAGCCAAAAAGTTCAAATTTTGTTGTCAAATGAAACTTTAATAATTATGGTAAAACACGTTGAAATTTGTGCAATGTTGAAATTTGTGCGCTCAAATTAAATTCAAATCATCACTAATAAACCATTTATACTGAACATTTGTATGCAGTTCTATGTAAAATTGATGTCCAAATGTTTCTCCCTCATTTAAGATGGTGTTAAAACCGCAGGCAGCTTTAAATTTGAAAAAATCGAAACCTAATACAAAATTTAAATTTTTTGGACATAACAAGTGCTTCTTATTAGCATAAAAGTGATGAAATATCGAATTTGAATATTGTTTAATCGTTTAAAAAAGTTTCTGGTCATAAAGAGCTATTGGAATTGCTCTAATAATTGATTTGAAATCACAGCTTTTTAAATGTTGAAATTTGTGTAAAATATTTTGACAAATGTTAAACTTTGTGCGTTTCTCATCGTAGCAAGCAATGACACATTTTGTCAACAATAATTATTATTTATGTATGAAATTCATGTTTTTAGAAGTACAAATGAAAAATAACATGATTGGAACCAGGGGCGTAGCCAGAAAATTTTTAAGGGGGGGGCCCATTTTCGAAAATTAAAAAACTGTTATTTTGTATCCTTTAATCTATATTCATTCTTCATAAGTTTAAATATTTAATTCATTATTCATATATTAAATTTCATTTTTCGTGCTGATTTTGACATTTCTTTCATCACTTCCTCTACATTAACTGGTTCTTCTCTATAAATACTTAATAAAAGAATTATCAGATTTTCGTAGGGGGGGCCCGGGCCCCCTATGGCCCCCCCCTGGCTACGCCCCTGATTGGAACTCCTCAAAGTTAAAAACCAAAATTTAAAAAATGCGTCTCGTTCAAAACTGTAGAAAATATTATGAAAAACTTCGAAACCTTCAAAAAAATTATTAATCTCTAAACTTCACTATCTATCTATATGAAATTTAAAAACTTGCAGGACGTTCTTACTTTATGAATATTTTACTGTTCAATAAGCTCAGTCAAAATTAATTAAGTTGAATCTTTTATCTTGCATGCATCTTAAGAAATAAATTAAAAACAGTCAGCTGAGTAGGAATTATTTGGTTTTAATTTGATTCAGATATTTTCCTTGCCACAAATCGCGATTTAAGTTTCAAAAAATTGTAAACAAAATGTTTGTTTATATTTGAGAATTGAAATTATGTCAAAGTTTGCTATCAAAAAAGTGCACAAATTTCAACATTTTTTCGAACAAATTTTAAAATTTTCCGCATAAATTTCAACATTTGACCAAAAATGTCAAAATTCTCTTCCCATAAGCAGCACATCTTTCATAACATAATGTAAAATGAAAACTCCCACAAATTGTGATCTTTTAAGCCTATAATCAGATTTTCATTATCAGCCATTAAAAAGTTACATGCAAATCAAATCTTCATGTGCAAAAACACTCAAATTTCAACAAGGTATACCCTACTCGACAAACACTTCAAAATGATATATTTTCACATTGTTCAAACTTTACAAGTCACATGGCTTCAAATAACATATTATTTACAGTTCATTTTCTCAAAACATTCAAAATATTTGAATAATATTTTCTCCAATAATCCCAAATAATAGCAATAATCCCAATAATCCTGAATAATCCCAGCGTATTTTTGAATGTCCACGCCTTGGTATAAACTTTCATTTGTTTCTGCACACATTTTAGCTGTCCAAAGGTACAACAAGCATCAGAGTCAAGAATTTTAAAAACAGTCATAAATTGTGGTTTCTTTTTCTATATATTGTCATTTTGATTTTAAGTTGCATGTTAAAGTAATTTTTAATCCATAGACTTGCCCAATAATAAAGCTCCTATGAAATTATTCAGTTGCCTTCCCCTCGTCAGTATAAATAAAGTATTTTTGTCTTAATATCTGACAATGTTAAATAAATAAATAAAACTAGTTAAAAATAGGCAGTAATAATGGAAGAACCAGACTTAAAGAAGCTTGCAACGACTCATGAGTTTTATGTTGGATTGTTGTTGGCTGTATCAAGCTGCTTTTTCATCGGTAAATTAATAAAATTGAATTCGTATTATTCATCAAAATAAAAATAAAATTTTCTGTGAATTTACAGGTGCATCATTTATAATTAAAAAGAAAGGATTAATACGACTGGCAAGAGTAGGAAAACGAGCTGGCGCTGGTGGATTTGGCTATTTAAGAGACGCAGTATGGTGGTTTGGACTATTATCTAGTAAGTATTTGTGATGATTAATCATTATCTATAATTCATTGACCTTGAACTTTCTCTACTTATCATGTTCATTTCTAGTGGGACTAGGTGAAGTCTTGAATTTTACAGCATACATGTTTGCACCAGCTTCTCTAGTTACGCCACTTGGAGCACTGTCCGTAATTATAACAGCGATTCTTGCGAGCAAATTTCTTAATGAGCGATTAAACTTGCTTGGCAAAATGGGATGTTTTTTATGCATGATTGGCAGTACAATCATTGTTATTCATTCACCCAAAGAAACAGAAATTACTGATCTTAATGTCCTGATTGAAAAAGCATCAGATTCAGCTTTTATTACTTATGTGCTGGTTGTGCTTCTTATAGCTGCATTTATAGCATTCTATCTGGGACCTCGAATAGGACATAAGAATGTTGTTGTTTATATTCTTCTATGCTCATCAATAGGATCATTAACTGTTATGTCCTGTAAAGCATTAGGTTTAGCTATAAAAGAGACACTATCCGGAAAATCGAATGATTTTGGAATGTCATTACCCTACATACTTGTCATCATATCTGCTGTATTTATCGCTATTCAAATGAACTATTTAAATAAGGCACTTGACATCTTCAACACATCTATAGTCACTCCAATCTATTATGTTATATTTACAACTTTAGTCATATTTGCTTCAGCTATTTTATTTAAAGAATGGAAAAATATGGATGTCTCAAATATTATTGGTGATATTTGTGGATTTCTGGTAGTCATATGTGCTGTTATATTGCTCAATGCATTCAAAGACATGGACGTATCAATGGATGATTTGACATCTCAAATGAGACCAAGAAGGAGATTAGTGACGCTCGGTGGAAGTGCCAGAAATGGAAATATTCACTTAGAAGAAAGTGGAAGTCTAATGGGTCATTCTTATGGCCAAAGTGATAATGACACATAGCATAATAAGCTTCAAGATTGATTAATCAAAAGTTTACCATAAATATCAACACTTAATTCAATTAATTATGGAACAATTTTAAAGGACTGAAAATTATTAAAATGGAAGAACAAAAAAAATTATTGTTCAGTTTCTGGATTCACTATTTTTATAAGGTTTCTGTAACATTGAATAATTAATTACGTAGGTATAAGTTACCCCATAAAAAAAATCAAATTAAAATTTATGATACTTTATCCTGCCTTAGTCTTGCTGAATAGGTATGTGAATTTTATAAATACACGAGAAAAATCTCAATTCCTTCAATCTTTTTAAAAATTACAATAGAATCAAATATTCGAATTATCTAATTTAAATTTACAGAACATTTTAAAAATGAAGAATTATGAAAAAGTAAAGATCCTTTAATTTAAATTTGGACTATAATAAATATAAAAATAATTAACAGAATAATTGCTTAGTTTATTCATTCTATAGTTTTAAAGATAAATTATAGCAAACCCAATTTACTCATGCTATTTTACAAAAAAAATATATAAAACGAATAAAATAAAATCTGTAAAAAGTCTTTGGTCAAAGAAATTTATCCATGTTTTTAGACATCTTGAATTCAGTGGAGATTTTGACATGGTTTGCCTGACATAATTTATTAACAGCAAACAAAAAACTTTTTATCGAGAAACCTTAAAAAATAATAAAAGCTCATGCGAAAAGCTTAATCAGCTGATCTGACTAGCTTTTTATGTAAAATATTTATTAAGAGAGTTTAAATATTATGAGAAGGTAACTCAAGAGAGGAGTTGCCTTATTTTTGTTATTACCGGCTTTAAACATTAAAGAGAATGTTTGTAAACAATGACATTCGAGCACATAAAATAATTCCAGAGCATTTTTATTTTCACATGTATCAGAAAGTCTTTCTGTGAATTAAAATTTCTTTGGGGGATATATCCGATTTATCTAAATTAATTATAAATGCTTTAAAAAAATTCTTATTAAGATTTCCATTTGTTTCAAACTTAGATTTTAAATTTTATAAGCTTAGATCCTTTAAAAAAAATCAGCATAGTTTTGAATAAGAAGAATGCTTGATTACGAAGAATAACAATTAAAGTAGCACATAGAAGCATAATAATAATTGACACTGACCTAGACAATAAATTGATTATTTTAATGACTCGTGGGAATGAATAAAAAATAAACAAATCGGAAAACTAAGCTTAATATGCTAAATATGAGTGCATTACAATATATTTTCGTTTATTAAGCACTAATTTTTTTTCACACAATTAGCATAAGTCACAAAATAACTATTCGTAGTAGAATCGAGAAGAAGAATTTTTGAGTTGATTGAGCCGAACAATTAAGCTATGAAAATGAATAATGGATGAAGAAAACGAAGACTACGCACTACACACAAAACACTATCATTTAGTCACTACTATTCTCAGTTTTCCTTATAAATAGCCGATCGATGCAGGCGAATTTCTTTATTTCATTGTTAAGTTTCGACTGAGCAGCACCTCTCTTTTATCTCCAAATTCAAGGATTTTAAAAGTCTACGTGAAGTAAGTGGAAGTGATTTTTTTTTGTGCAGAAATAAAACAGTGTTGTGTTTTATGACAATAGTGATATGACATCCTTAATGATCACTGTTCTAACTTTTTGGAATCTAAACTCAAGTGATAAATGGAATCAAAATTTTTGGACTTCTTCCTTGTTTAATAATTGTTAATGAAGTGTGGAATCAGCTTGACAAGTTAAAGATATATTAATATAATACATCCTCTCATTGCTTCATGATCTCTAAAGACTTTTAAAATGTTTTGTAAATAAAGATTTGAATTGTGTTTGACTAAGAATAAGAAAATTATTGGAAATACCGCATTGCTTGTCAATGATCAAATAATGCAAAATTTGGATAAGATTTTTGTGATTTTTTAAGGCAGAAAATTCATAGTTTTGTTAAAATTTTGATCATGCGAAAGACCTCGAATATCCAAAATTCAGTAAATTCTCGATAAAAACTTCTAAATTGCAATAATTAAGATTTTGCAACCAATTAAGAAATTGCTCTAATTGATACTTGTTTATCCAAAATAAAGGCATAAAAGGAACATAAAAAATCATTAACTTAATTTATATTGCAAATAATAAACTTCATTAAATGTTATTTTTTTAAGTATGCGTTATGCCATGAAATATTAAGATAACAAGACTGTTTGCTAATTCAACAAAAATGTGACTTGAATTCACTATTCACTAAGGGATTTACGTTATAAGTGTTAATGCTAACATTTGTGTCTAGCAAATATTCATTTCATGTAAATATTTGATACGCTATAAAAATTGAGAAAGGCTTTGTCTATATTTGCAGATCAACAATGACGAAGTTGACAAAGACACAAGAATTTTACAAAGGAAAGTCAATTTTCATCACCGGTAGTTCCGGATTTATGGGAAAAGTTCTCCTTGAAAAGCTTCTGTATTCATGTTCTGATGTCAAGCAAATCATTATTCTCGTAAGACCAAAACGCGGAAAAAGCGCATTACAACGAGTTCAAGACTTTTCAACCCTTGCCGTAAGTCACTTGTTATTAGTTCCTACATATGTTGACATCTCAATCTGTAGGATAGCAATTAAAAATACATTTTGCTACTTGACACCTTCAACAATCTAATTCGAGATTTATTCGAGAAAAGATAACAATTTAATAACTCTGCAATTAATCTGTGCTGCTAAAATTAGAATTAATCCTCATTAATCAAATGTTCTTCATAATTAGCTAGTCAACAGAGGTATTTATGAAGCATAACTTTTTGTTTTTCTGATTTGTTGTTCTTTAATGTTGAAATTGGTGATTTATTTAAAATTAAGACATAAAAGAATTAAAAATATCACCATCATCACTAATTTTTATTTATTTTATGCAGACCTTGCACATTATTCATATGGCAATTGCTGATTCTGAAATTTATTTGATCATTCAATTTGCAGAAATATTTTTCTAAGACATTATTAAAAATCCTTATGTCTACAAAACTTTCAATATATCTTGAGTTATTAATAAATAAGAAGTAATGATCTCATAAAGCCTTCATGGTTAAGAAGACAATGAAATGAAAATTTTGGCTCCTAGGAGTATAACACTGTTGTAGTGCCTTTATCTATTAAACAACAATATTTTGTCTAATGCCTTAAACCTTTTTTCATATTGATTAATAAACCAGTGACAATTAATTTATTAATTTACACATCAAATTAGTAAGTATATCTTCACACATCGAACAAGTTAATATCTTGTACACACATATTTCGGCAGTCAATGATAATACTTCGTCATGTGAAAGAAGATGTGCGATAAACAAACAAGACCTTTCATTTTTTTGTGTACGATTTAAACAATCATCTTCAATTTGCAGATGTTTAAGAGAATCAACAATGAGAAACCAGAAGTGATGCAAAAGATTGTACCAGTTTTTGGTGATATTCAAAAGGAAAACTGTGGCTTAAATGATGAGCACTTGAGGAAAGTTATTGAAGAGTCAGAACTAGTCTTTCATATGGCAGCATCATTAAAATTGGAAGCGACACTTAAACCCAATATAGAAATGAATCTTCTAGGAACAAAGCATGTCATTGACATGTGCAAAAGAATGCCGAAACTAATGCTTTTGATGCACTTGTCGACAGCATTCTGTACATCAGATAAGACCGGAACTTTATATGAGCGCGTTTATGATTGGAAGGATGATCCTAATGATCTTATCAGGTGTGCTGAATGGATGGATGAAAAGACTATGGAAAATGTCCAATCAAAATTACTTGATCCACATCCAAATACTTACACTTATACAAAGCGCTTAGCTGAGATTCTCGTCCGATCAAATTTCAGAGATATTCCAGCCTGCATTGTTCGACCTTCGATAGGTATGTGCATTTTTTGTGTCATTTCGAAATGTATGAAATTGATGGTTTAATATGCAGCATGTAATTTGTTGATTTGGAATGAGTTTTAAAAGATCATTAATTTAGAGCTGCTTAGCTGATCTTGATATTATCCAAAAATTGACTTTAAAATGCTGGAGGTTACTATCAAAATATTTTAGTCTTTAAATGTCAAATTATGACTAATAATAATTATCAAAATGAAGCATAAATCAGCGCTTACGAATTCCATGAACTTTCTTTAATTCAACTTCAATCTGACTCGTTCGAAGGAACATGCATAAAAACTTGTTTTAAGTCGTTCTCTTCTCTGTTATGCATTATTGCATAATCTTCGCATTACATGACGCAGTTACTGACATAGTTCCCTCACAAGGTCATCCTTGATCGCGAATTTTCCCATTTCTATAATTGATGTTACTTTCTTTATGAAATTTCAAAATTTATAGGCAATAAGCTGCTGATTTGTTTTCTCGTGGTTGACACTTTAAACTTCATGAATTACCACGAGTCCATATATGTCTTTTAATGGAAATTTCTTCTCATTTATTCCTATTATTTTACAGTAACACCGGCTTTCAATGATCCATGTCCAGGCTGGGTAAGTTGATATACTTGCAATTGTTTCGGAATTTATTCCAACTTTATTATTTTTTGATATGTTTAGGTTGACAACTTGAATGGGTAAGCATGATGAGTACTTTATTGAAAAAATCATGAGACTCAAGCAAGAATATTTGTACAAATGAATTACAGTCCCGTAGGCATTATGGTTGCTGGAGCTAAGGGAGTGTTGCGATCTATGTTGTGCAATGGAGACTTTAAGGGTGAATGCATCCCTGTTGATTTTGCAATTAATGGTATTATTGGAATTGCAAAGAGTGTAGCAACAATGAAAGAAAAGTGAGTACGTAATGGATTGACCATTAATCAGAAGATTAAAGACAAATTTTTGTAGACCATCAGAAATTCCCGTTTTTAATGTGACTTGTCATCCTGAGAGTAAACAAACTTGGGAATATATTTTGGAAGAAGGACGTAAAATGGTACAGAAATATCCTTTTGAATTTGGACTTTGGCTTCCTGGCGGTGGAATCACAATGAATAAGAAACTACATAAGCTTAATGTTGCTTTATTCCATTGGGGACCTGCTTATCTAATCGATTTTCTCATGTTCTGTTTTGGACAGAAGCGATTGTAAGTTTTCACTGATTAAAGTTTATAAGAAACTTGATACATTTGTAAAATTATTAATATCCAGCATGTATCGTGTGCAACAAAAGATATCTCAAGGACTTGATGTATTAACTTTCTTTACAATGCGTGAATGGCTTTTTGACTCAAAAAAATTTCAACAAGTCTTTCAAGAAATGGAACCAGACGATAAGAAAATGTAATAAATGAACAATTTACGATAATTAATCTGGTAATTAAAGTATCTCACTTATAGATTTTATATGGACACGAGAATTATTACTAAAGATATTGAGTTGGATTACTTACGTGACACTTTATTGGGTGGACGTCAATATTGCATGAAAGAACCTTTATCCACATTACCCAAGGCAAGGATTCAACTGAAAATGTAAGCTGATTTATTGACTTGAATGTTGCATAAATGTCACTTTTGTTTACTTCTAGCATGAAAATCATTGATGCTCTTATTAAGCTTTTCTTCTTGTACCATATTTTGAGATATATCTTAAAAGCCACAGGTCTTGACAGCACAATATCTGCGTTAATTGATGACTTGAATGTTAATCGATCACTTACAATATAATTTCATTTTATTATATTACTTGTCATTATTACTTTTGGTCGTTCCTTAATTACGTATTTAACTTTGCATTCTTTGTGACTTCTTTTCTTAATTTCCAAAAAAATATCTGCCGTCAAAATTCAAAGAAAATAAAGCCTACTTTGATTTTTATACAATACTTTAAAAGAAAATAAGACTTTTATTACTCATTTACACAGACATAGCAATAACGTGAAATATAATTTCGAATAATTGCCTTAATGTTTGATGAACAGATTTCTGTAGATACTAAAAACTTCTTTAATGTTTGCTCAATGAGCTGGTTGTTGTTCCTTTCTGTGATGACACCTTTATCGATTAAAATTGACACGACATCTAGAAAGAAGAAGCCTGCCTCAAGAAACTCAACACTATATGGTCCGTAAAGGTTTTCCTTTACGTTTAGAAGCTCGAAACTCAATGTTAAGGGGATATTTGCATTCTGCATGTTGATAGAATCTGTATAAGTGGAATATATAAATTAAGTTATGAAAATCATAGAGTATTAAGCATGTTATTCACTTCTATTAGTGATGAGAGTATGGAGCATCATTTCAGTCATGTGATAACGAATCTCGTCTAATGATCCCATGCCAAAAATAGCAGATAAATATGTCGTGTAAAGCTGATTCATTGTAAAATTAGAATCAGACTGTTGAGCTAATAAGGAGAAGAATTTCTTCATGTGAACATTATCGTGGACTTTTCTGCAATCGTCACAACGAAGACGGAAATTTTCATCACTTCCATCATCTTCGTCTGAATAATCGTCATTGTCATCAGATGACAGCTTTTTATCGGGATAGAATAATCTCCTGTTACACTTTCGGCACAAAATTGAATTGTTAAATCTCTGTTGGAATTAATATTAATTATTTTATGGATCTAAAAGTTATAAGCAAGCTTTTATCTTACATATTCATCATTCGTCTGCAAGCACTTTGTACATTTGCATTCAAAATTATATTGCAGCTTAAGAGTGTCTTGCCGTTCTTGAAAAGACATCAACTTCCAGTGAGGACCATAGCAATTAAAAATCTCACCATTTTCAGGAATATCACTCGCTGCAAAGATTGTTAACATCCTTCCTTCAAAAACATTTCTGATGTTCGGTTCACAACTATGATTCAACATCGAGATTCGTGGGAAAATTCCAGTAAAGACACGCTGAGACTTTAACAGTAGATGCAAGCCACCGCCATTGGGTTGATTTTTAAGTAACATAAGCTTTAATGCGTCAGTAGTGAAGACATTCTGTCGAAAATCTACGATTGCGTGACCATTTGACACTAACTGACCAATATGTCGCAAGATTAAGGCACTAATCAATAAATCCCATCCACTGTCATCTAGTAAATCCTTTATTTTGCTCGATAGAAAATCTTGGAAGAAGGTCGTACATTCTCTAAGGTAGATTGTAAGCATGTACGCAGTCTGTTTAATAAACACGTGCAATTTTTTTAAAATCAATTTAAGGAACCGACATAATAAACTCAATGGCAACTTACATAAACATAGGGCATATTTCTCATTAAGAACGTGTTGTCACGAAACAGATTAGGTTGAAGGCACAAAACTCGAGCATATTCCTGAAATTCTGAACTGCTGTTTTCTCCAAAATAGTCATGATAAAATTCGGACGATAAATCAATAAGTTGTTCAAAAATCTTTTCTGGATCTTTCTTCAACTTCTCTTGATCAGCAAAAAGTTCAAGTTTTGATATGAGCGATGGAAAGCCGACTAAAAGCACTCGCAAGGATAAATGAGCAATACCGATTTCGAAGAAAAGATTCTTTTTATATCCTTCACATTCGTATTTGTGAATTTTAAAATGCTCATCTCGACATTGACTTGAACAATAAGTCGAATGCCTGCATTCTAAACACAAGAAAGGCCAGACATTGACTAGAGCACAATTTTCGCAATCCGTGTTGAAGTATTTCTTAACGCCGTAATTATGGACCGGTACGAACGCAAATGGTATCTCATTATAAATGATCTCATCCGTTTTAATCTCTTTATGAGCAACGACATATCTTCCTAGCGATTCTGAATTCATTCTGTATGAAACAAAAAGTTATTATATTAGGTTTATAAATCACTAGTGATATAAATGACTTACTGCTTGACTTTAAGCTCATCTTTGCTTTGGTCATCCAAAGTAAGCTTATTTAGTTCCTCTTGTTCCTCGTCGTCAACATAGGTTTCTTTTTCCATAGCTTTTAATCGTGTCTTGTATTTTTGAAGAATTTCTTTAGACTGCTTTGAACCTTTTTTCGCGTACTTTTCAAGTTCTGCTACATTCTTTCGCATGTCTTTTATGCAGCCATTTGATAATGAACACATTCTTTCGTAAATTTTAAACGGATCAGGATGATTTAACTGGAATTGAATAAAATTATATACAAAATATCACAACATCAATTTATTAAAACTTACTTTTATAGCTTCCTCGCAGTCATTTCGAGCGACTTTATTAAATCCAAGTCTCATTAAAGCGGCAGCTCGATTCCCATGAGCAAAAGATAAGTCGCTGTCATTCTCAGAACACTTTAATGCAAGCGTATAAAGAAATGCAGATTCAAATAAATTAACGTTTTGGTCATTTCTTTTGTAAATCTTATTTCCTTCGCTTCTGATCTCTTCACTAAGCTGTGATGATTTTTTTAATGCTGGTGTCAAGTCATCAAGAAAGCAAGAAATAAACTTTTTAATTTTTGTCTCATATATTGTCTGTACAACTCTGATTTCATTGCTGGAATTCTTAATTGACAGCTTTTTCTGGTTCTTTTTCATTTGCTTGATGACAATGTCCCATTTTGAACCAATGTTGCGCGTTTGCTCTGGAAGTGACATATTTTGGACATAAAAATGTTTGTTGTGCGTAAATAACGAGTTTTCTGAATTGATTATATATCCTGGATCTTGAAAATTGACTGTTATCTAAAAGAAATGAAAGGTTTTAATCATTTAATGTTCTTCCTTATTCAACTTTAAGCTTACTTTATTTCCGGCGAATATTTTACAATTCTTCTAATACGACAATGCGGAACTTTTAACCAAATTTTTTGTTGCTTCTAATTTAACACATTTAGTGGATATATTTTACTGTTTCTGTCAAAAACAATCAGTTTACACATAGAAAAATAACTTTATAAGTTAAAATGTACTGTAATTAATGAATTATCTTGCAAAATTTGGTTCTGTTTACTAAAATCGGTATGAAGTCACCGTTAAAATGTGATCAAAAGTAGAAAGCGCATTTTCCAGCTGATTTAATTTGAAACAATACAAATGTTTTGAATGCTCGAAAACCTTACAATAACATTTGTGAGGTTTTGTTGCTTCAAAGATATTTGTTTCAAGCACTTAATTAAGTTAATATATAGGATGGATTATTAATTTAATGAGTCCTGTCAAAATGAACTGCTTAAACCATCGTTTTATTAAAACAAACGTTTCATTACAAAATTTCAACGTCTGTGAAAATTTTAAAAGTTTTTTTCCGGCAAAATAAAAATTTAAACAAAATATGACTGTTTTGATTTTTTGAATGTATCAACATTATATGCGATACCTTAATTCCACTATATTTTGTAATCTGTTATTAATGCATTTTTGTAAAAACTATTACGAGAATTATAGTCTAACGTTTATCATTAGAATATCATTGAAATCTGTTGAGTGACTTATCCCTTTACCAACCCCGCACCAATACTATCTCAAAAAATTTTCATAAGAAAAGAAAGTTGCAAAAATTAATTAAGTTAAGGGTTTTCTAATGCTCTAACAATCGTATTGTGATTATTAAATAGATTATTGACTTGATAGGAAGTGAGTGATATAAAAAAAGCTCCAATGAGGGGCAAAAGATTTGATTTCATACAGTTAAAAAAACACGAAGACATTTTAAATGGAAATTTGCGAATATGTTATGTTTAAGTGATGCACAGTCTCTATGTTTATTACAATTGTCGCAAATAGTATCAAGTTTAACTAAGAGGAACTTTCCACAAAGCTCTAGAGAGATTTCAGAGGTATTAAATGAAATAAATGAAAAAGTTTTAAAGTGAGAGAAAAAGAATGCACAATATGGCTGGTCCGTAGCTCTTCTTCTACCTTTTTCTTTTTCTCTCTCTCGCGAATTTCGTCTTAACCAATTTTTGTTTAAGTTAATTAATTTGGCATCCTTATAAGTTTGTGTCGAAAGTGCTAGAAAAATAACCTTAATTTATCACATAATTTGTTATAGCTTTGTAAACAATTTGGGATTGAGGCAGAAAGGCATCTTCTGCGCTGTTTGTTTTCATCGATTGATTTTGGAGACGCACATTCAGTGAAAAATAATTCATTACAAGCTAAACTTTTATCAAGTGAACTATCATCAATACTAAATAAGCCATCTTTTGTATCGAGCATCTGTTTTGCTATCGAAAATCCACTGTCACAGCAAAAGGTAAGCTGCAAATTTCGTCATATTACCGCACTTGTTATATCAAATAGTTGTTTATTCTATAGACTTTGAGACCAACCCAACATCTTATAAATCAAATCTCAAAGGCTCTTAATTGCTCACAAATCCAGGAGATTTCGTTGGCAATTGCTCTAAGGAACTCGCTTAATCCAGATCTAGCCAAGTTCGCAGAGCAACATTTAAAAATTTGCTTACCTCAACTTATACAAAATTATCTAGGTAATTATTACAGGCTTAATTTCTCTTTATACCATAATACCAAAAAAAAAAATATGTTTTAGATTCATCAAGACCGTCGGAAGGAACATTAACTGATATATCGCCGGAATTACTTCAGTTATTGCTATCGCTTATTGCATACGGAAAGCATTCATTTTTCAACCTAAGTGATTCAATCTATAACAAATTTATAAAGAAATTGTGTAGAGACTTTCCACGCGATCACGTTCCACTAATTTTAACGCCTTTACTCTACCTTGAAGAAAGTGAAATTTCCACGGAATCTTTATTATCTAATTCGCAAAATATATTCAAGTCAAGCATTATGGACACGTCTTGGTCGAAGCTCATAATGGAAATTGGATATTCCTTGACACAATCTGTAGATGATTGCAAGACTCATCTGATGAAAGGAGGAGGACGAGATGTAACAGCTCAAGATGTCGCTAAAATAATATCTTTAATGTGCTTAACGCATACAAATTTATCGGATAGTAGCATCAACTTGCCAACACCCAATGCTTTTTGGTCATCAAATAGCTCACAATCGAATGATCCTGCAAGTAGCAATTCTGCAGGACAAAAAGAGAAATTGACGATTGAAAGTGCATCATGGAAGCCAGAAATTTTCGTTCAAGCATTAAAGGAAGTCGTACCAAATTTGAACTGGAAGGAAGTATGTTTGGGACTTGATCATCCAGAATTCGCTATTAAGGATCGAATTGGATTGAACTTGTTGATCACAACAATTCGTCTTGGCTTTCAATCGAGCGGAATGGGACAAAACTTCCCAGCTGAATGCATTTATAGACATTGGCAGAACGTTGAAGGACATTTGACATTGATTGCAGCAATTCTGAAAAATTCTGATATCTATTCATTTGCTGATCACATCTATAGTTCAGTTCCAATTGAGGTTCTTAAAACACCACCAGAGCCTGACAATAAGGAAGTAAATTCATGGAAATCTGTTCATTTGGTCGAAACACTTTTGTACATCTCCGATAATGGATATTATAACCAAGCTTTGGAAATATTGAAATTTCCACTTCAACATTGTCCTGACATCCTATTTATGGCCCTACTACATTCAAATGGACCACTTACAGTCCTTCGTCAAGAGCTTTTTACAAGCCTTGTGCCTGTTTTCTTAAGCAATCATCCAAATTCTGGTCCAATTTTACATCATGCATGGAATTCATCAAACTACGGAGCGATCAAGAACGTCATTATGATGTCTATGAATGAGTCATACATACGAAGCGATAGTGATCAATCTCGACTGTCTAGAATACTTGATATTGCTCAAGATCTGAAAGCATTATCTAATTTATTAAACTCGAGAGATTCACGATTCTTTATGTTTGTGATTGACTTGGCATGTCTTGCATCACGTCGCGAATATCTTAAATTAGATAAATGGCTATCAGATAAGTTACGCGAACATGGAGATCAATTTGCAGCTGCTCTTGTGAAATTTCTACAAAGAAGATGTCCTCAAATTATGGGAAAAGCTGCAGACGATCAAATGTCAAAATCTGGACAATTGCAGCCTGAAACTCTAAACCTCATTGCTCAATGTCTTCATGCTTTTATTCCTAATATTCATTCGCCTGATGTGGCTGAACAAGCAACAACAATTGTCACGAATTGCAATTTACTGTTGAACAAACGTCGACAATTTCAACCAATTTTACGTGGAAACAGCCAAATGGGAGGAATGGATGCATCATTTTCTAATGCTGGTCTTCAAAACTTCCAAACTGGAATGAATTCTGTCTTGAATGACATTAGTGCTGGGATGAATGCATTAAATTTAAGTGGTGTAAATCCTAATAGTAACGCTTTTAATGCTTTCGGGAATATGTTAGGGAATTTAGGTAATACGCCAGCATCTCCATCACGTTTAATGTCAGCTTTAAATAGTGCAACATCAAATAGTCCATTTCCAATGCAAGTTAATGCACCACCACAACAAAATCTTGGACGAATTGGAACGACACCAACGGGTGATAAGCATAACATCTTAAATCCATTGCCAGGAGCTCAACAAAATCCAACAGCACAGGTTCCACCACAGTCACAACAATCTTTGTTTGGTGAACAGCCACCAATATCAAGTGAAATTGAAGAGGAAGCAAACGGTTACTTCCAAAGGATTTATAATCATCCACCACATCCAACATTATCAATTGATGAGGTTCTTGACATGCTTAAAAGATTCTCAGAATCATCAAATCGTCGTGAACGAGAAGTTCATCATTGTATGCTGAGAAATTTACTCGAAGAATACAAGTTCTTTCCACAATATCCAGAGAAGGAACTGCAAATTACAGCACAACTTTTTGGTGGAATGATTGAGAGAAATCTTGTTGATACATACTTGACATTGGGGCTTGCATTAAGGTATGTTTTGGAAGCATTAAGAAAACCTGAAGGATCAAAAATGTATTACTTTGGTATCACAGCAATGGATCGCTTTAAGAACCGCCTACATACTTATCAAAAATATTGTGAACACGTACGATCCATTCCCCATTTCAATTCATTTCCACCTCATTTAATCAAGTATGTCGAATATGGATGTAATTCAGAATTGCCACCAGACATCCCTCAAGCACCATTTAATCCAACAACGTCTGATACAAGTGGACAATTATTACCAAATACTGGATCACATTTGCCCATAACATCAGCACAGTCTCTTTATAGAAGTAATTCAGTTACTGGAAATATTGTAACGCAGGCAAAATCCACACCTTCGTCCACAACAACGACAACGCCGAGTAGCAGCTCAGTTCTGCCTTCAAAATCATTCAAGTCAATTGCAAATGCCACAAATATTGACACTCTTTTAGTTGCGAATGAAACGGAAAGTGAGAAAATTATTGTGCCTCCAGATGCAGTTCAAGACAAGACGGCATTTATTTTCAATAATTTGAGTCAATTGAATTTAACGACAAAATGTGAGGAAATAAGGGAAATCTTGCAAAAGGAATTTTATGCTTGGATGTCACAATATTTGGTATTGAAGAGAGCCAGTATTGAAATTAATTTCCATACACTTTATTCGAATCTTTTGGAAGCATTAAAAATTCAAGAATTGTTGATACTCACAACAAATGAGACTTTTAGAAATATAAAGGTGCTATTGAGAAGTGATAAAAGTATTGCGAATTTCTCGGACAGGAGTTTATTGAAAAATCTTGGACATTGGTTGGGAATGTTGACATTAGGAAGGAATAGGCCAATTTTGCATAATGATATTGACCTTAAGTCATTAGTTCTTGAAGCATATTCAAAGGGACAACAAGAATTACTTTATGTCGTTCCCTTTGTAGCGAAAGTAATTGAATCAGCAGCTAAGAGTAAAGTCTTTAAGCCACCAAATCCATGGACAATGGCTATAATGAATGTTTTGGCAGAATTACATCAAGAACCAGAACTTAAATTAAATTTAAAGTTTGAGATTGAAGTGCTTTGCAAGAGTTTAAACTTGGAAGTTGCCGATTTGAAGCCTGCTTATTATCTTAAAGATCCAGAAAGGATTATTAAAATTGTTAATCAATTATCGCCACCAAATAAGCAAATTAAGGAATCATTAAGCCAGCCACCACCATCATTAATTCAATCAAATGAAGAAGTTTCGAATTCAGCAATAGCTCCATCATTACAATCAGCATCCCCAGCAAATTCTACAGAAGCATTTGCAACTGGACCAAGTGAGCCTCGATATCATCTTAATGATATTGTCATACAAAACTTCGGAAATCATATTTCAAATTTGATTGTGCTCTCTTCAACTTTAGTGCTATTACATCCACAATTAAAATCTATTGTTGTTGGAGCATTAGACAAGACTATTCGTGAATGGGTACCGCCAGTTGTAGATAGGGCTGTGAAAATATCAAGCAAGACAACGGAATCAATCATTAGGAAAGACTTTGCACTTGATACAGATGATAATACAATGAGACAAGCTGCACATTGTATGGCAAGAAATCTAGCTGCTGGAATGGCAATGATTACGTGTAAGGATCAATTAATATCAGCAATTCAAACGAATGTCAAGGCACAATTAATTAATGTCTTAGCGCCACAACAGAAAGATCAAATTGACATGGCATCTAGCATGATTGCAAATGACAATGCGGAATTAGTTTGTGCATTCATACAGAAGTTTGCTATCGAAAGAGCTATTCCAGAAATTGATAAAGCTTTAAACAATGATTATGATTTAAGAAAGATGGCAAGACAAGAAGGAAGAACATTTTGTGATCACACTGTACTTGCATATCAAGCTGAAAGGATTCCAAATCAAATTAGATTGAAAGTCGGGACAGTTCCTACAGGTCAACTTGCAGTTTATGAAGAATTTGGACGTAATATTCCTGGATTCCAGAGAATAATTGATCGTGAATTATTTGCAAAATCAGCGTCTGTGGATCAACAACAGCAACAACAACAACAACAACAACAACAACAGCAGCAACAACAACAACAACAACAAGCTCCGCCACAACCTCCTCAATTGCCATTAGCTCCTGCAACAACTCCAAATGTTCCTGGAATTCAAACAGCAAATAATCTTCAATTATCAAGTATTGCAGCTAATGCATCTCAATTTGGAACATCATTTAATCAACAAGATGACTTTGGTATGGTATATGAAGATTTACAACAAAAGATTGAGACATTCATTAGCATGTATGGAGCAATTCCACATCTTCAAATTCAATCACAAACTATGCATGCATTATTAGAATTCGTTATGGTTGTTCGTAGAACTCGTGAAAATACAGCACAACAAAATCTCTTGAAAAAGACTATCGAGAATTTAATGGAAGGATTTTTAGTCATCACAGACTATGCTGAACAAATCAAAATTTATCGAGATATCCATTTAAGGATTTTAAAGATTCTGCAAGATAATCGTGCATTTGGACAGGCATGGACCAATAAGTGCATTACGAGATATGTTTTGGAATGTCCTGAATCGATGAGATATAACGTTGAGGCAATAGAAATTCTAATTACAACAAATTGCATCATTCTTCCTCAATACGATGCTGGATTAGCGACATTAATTGAATCTGGAAACTTTACAGCAGCTAGTTTCGCAACAAAGTTGCTTCAAATGCACTTTTTGGACGATAGGTCAAATGTCACGACACAAGATGGTGACTTTAATTGCACAATTACAATTTTAGAGAGACTCGCTAATCATAATAACGGCCCAGAAGCCCTATTAAATCTCCTCGAAATCTTGAGAAGCCAGCAAGATACAAGTATTAATCTTAGTGATCGTGCTGGACATGGGCCAACAGCTTATATCCATTCTGGAATGTTACAAGCAAGAAACACAACTGAAGTTGACGAACCTCCAGGTAATGTCAAGTGCTTAATAATTTCAGTCTTTAGATTCAATTTAAATCTTAGGATTTATTTTTTATTTTCCGAATTTTATTCTAGTCCAAAGATTTATTTTAAATCTCCGGATTTAATTCTAGTCCAAAGATTTATTTTTAATCTTTTGTCATATGTTCCCTATATTTGAAGGTTTCATCGAAAAATCTGAGTATCTATTAAAGGATTGGATTGCTATTTTCCATACACCAGGCATTAATCGAGATCAACTAAAATCATTCTCGACTTTTGTTAATAAAATGAACATTTATGGAATTTTAAAAGGCGACGAAGCTTTGACTAGGTTCTTTAGGCACGCTACACAAATGTGCATCGACCTAACATACAGAAATGATCCATCAATTACTAAGACAAAGATTTTCCAATGGATCGATGCATATGTTCGATTAATTGCATTGCTTGTAAAGCATTCTGGCGAGACTTCCAACTCGACAACAAAGCTTAATCTGTTGAATAAGGTACGCCACATTTTGTGCTCCTTTTAATATCTGTTTTTTAATGATTTATTTTTTTTTTTCAAATTTGTGTTTAGATTCTTGGGATTGTTATTGGGCTTTTATTGAAGGATCATGAGATTCACAAATTAAACTTCCAACAAGTTGGATATCAGAGAATATTCATTATGCTGTTCTTGGAACTAAGCTCATCTGATCCAGTTTTAGAGAATATTATGACAAATGTGGGTTACATCCTCATTATTATTCAACAGCATCATATTTATTAATATAATTAATTTATTCTCCTCAGGTATTGACAGCATTCTGTCATACATATCATATACTTCGTCCATCATTGGCGCCTGGATTCTGCTATTCATGGCTTGAATTGATTTCTCATAGAATTTTCTTACAAAGAATTCTGGCAACAACACCACAGACAAAGGGCTGGTCAATGTACTCGCAATTATTAATTGATTTATTCAAGTTCCTTGCTCCATTTTTGAGAAATGCTGAATTAGCAAAGTCAGTGACGTTGATGTATAAAGGAACATTACGTGTTCTTCTCGTTCTACTTCACGATTTTCCCGAATTCCTTTGTGATTATCACTTTGGATTCTGTGACGTAATTCCACCAAATTGCATTCAAATGAGAAACTTGATATTGTCAGCTTATCCCCGAAATATGCGCTTGCCCGATCCTTTCACTCCTAATTTGAAGGTAATTTCTTGATCATGTCTTATATTTTTTGGACATGGATAGTAATTATTAATATTTTTGTATAGGTGGACATGCTAAGTGATATTAATACAGCACCGCGCATACATTGTAATTATGCAGCCGCAATTCAGCCACAAAACTTTAAGAAGGATCTTGACTCATACTTGAAGGCAAGACACCCAGTCACATTCTTGGCAGAAATCAGAGGACATTTACAGATCTCGAACGAGCCAGGATCACGCTACAATATTCCATTAATGAATGCTTTAGTATTGTACGTTGGAACGCAAGCAATTCAAAATATACGGTATGAATAATACAGAACATCCACTTGTGCTTCATAAATGAATTTTAATTGTATATATTTTTATTTCACAGTCAAAAGAATCAGAATCCAACAATTACAAACATCATTCATAATGCACATATGGATATACTTCAGAACTTGGCAGTCGATCTTGATAATGAAGGACGCTATTTGTTCCTTAATGCAATTGCTAATCAACTACGCTACCCAAATATTCATACACATTACTTTAGTTGCGCGTTGCTCTATCTTTTCGATGAAGCTAATTCTGAAGCCATTCAAGTATGTAGATTTATTTTTTTTTATTTGATGAATAATTTAGTTTAATATATTTCCTTTATTTCTCGCTTTTGTTTGTTTTTTAGGAGCAAATTACCCGTGTGCTTTTAGAAAGATTGATTGTAAATAGGCCACATCCTTGGGGCTTATTAATCACATTTATTGAATTGATAAAGAATCCATCGTATAAATTCTGGGATCATGATTTCGTGCATTGTGCTCCAGAAATTGAAAAGTAATTTGATTAATTATTTATGAGATATTACGATGTGTTCATGCTGAAAACGGCTTTATGCTGTAGATATTCTGTTGCTGTAAATTTATATGAAATCTTCGTTAAAAAATTTGAAATTTTTTAAACCGTTAAATTTTAAATATTTTCTGGCAGTTGGACACATTTTTATTTCATAGATGTGTCTTGAAACATACTTACTAATTTCTTCCTATTCTCATCAAATCTAGATTGTTTGAATCTGTCGCACGTTCTTGTATGGTCAAAACTCAACAATCACAGGAATTTGATTCTGTAAAACCAATGGTCGAGAATCCATCAGACATTTAAATAGTTTTAGAGAAAGTAGCGCTCTGAACTCATCAAAATATAAATTTATTTCTTTATTTGTGTGAATAATTAATAGGTTTTAAGTTTAAAATATTTCAATCACAATAATTTTTCTTCATATTTTGATTTATTTGTTTATGCAACAACTATTTGCAATTTCAACAACAATATGTAGCTTATAAACTGAAATGATTGTAACATTGTGAAGTAATTTTATTTAAAAACAATAATATTATGAATTTCTTCTATGTTGCAGACTGATTTTGAAGTCCTATGTTCTCAAGAAAAATGTTTAAGTTTTCTTTTAAAGGAAAATATAAAAAAAAAAATTATTATAAAGCAAAAATTGATTGTTGAATAAATTATGTATAGTAAAAAAATCTGGAAATTAATGGAATAATAAAAGCTTAGATCACGAAATTGCATAAAAACAATTTTTATGGTCACATGTATTTAAAAAACTTGCTTTATTCTGGATTGTTGAAGATAGATGTGAATTTAATTATTATTTCTAATGAGGTTTAAACCAGTAATGTCGAAACTGTGTGCTGCGACAGGCAAGACATGTAAAACAAACTTTGATTATTGTTGGTAATGCTTGTAATGCTGAGAATTTTTAAATCGTCTATCAATATTGCCATGACTTTTGAAGAAGACTCTTTAATATCTAAGCAATCATTGTTCGAATTTTTCAAGTGCGTCAATATTTTAATTATTTTGGTGTAAATCATGTCAAATTGTAAGTGAACAGTAGTGTAAAAGAACAGATAATAATTGAAAACTGTTGACGAGAAGAAGCGGTCGAAAAAAGTAAGTAAAATTTATTTTTCTAAACTTCAGTATCAAATTGCAAAGTTTTCATTCAATAAACTTAATTAAGCTTTGCTATACATCAGCAAGTGTCATAAAAATAACGAACAACAGCTCGCACTATAAAAATCAAACATCAGGAAACGCTATTTCCTCAATTTATGAAACTAAACATTTCTCTAGATTCAATCATATTGTCTATGGATTTACCCAATTAAACTTAATACTGTATTAGTAATTTTGGCATAAACAATCAAGAGAATTAAAATATTTGACCAAGATTCCTTAAGACATGATCTTTTTTTCACCCACCAAGTCTGGTGCTTATTATGTGTGCATTAGTTTCGCTATCAAAGAGATATAATCGTTGTGAGTCACAAAAGGCTTTACTTTGAGGAGAAGTTTCAGTTGACACAATTCTCAATGAGCTCATTATCAAGTGCAATGAAGAAAAATGACTTTATGTACTAATACTTCAGTTATTCTACAAATACACGAGAAAATCAGGTTCTTTTAACTAAGAAATGATGAGGCTTAATAGAAAAAAAGAAAGACAAAGCACAGCGGAAAACGAATATAAAGTAAACTAAAAACATATTGCCTTTATACATATATATAATATTTTTGTATATAAGTAAGTCTAAAGTAAACACAACTCGTAAAATAAATGTGATGTGTTGGTTCCGTAGTGTAGAAACTCGCTTTACCTACATCGCGAATAAATTTGTGGCACAAATTTTGTATTACAAGTTAATGTATTTAATAATATAAAAAATTGTGTGGCAGTTGAATCGTACCCGAGTAATGAATTGAAGCTCAATTACTTATGCTTTGTTTCCACGTACATAATGCATATATATTCATCACATTACCTAAATAGATTTTGTTGGATTGTAATTTACAAAAAAAAATTCGGTTAGGGACTGTCAATGAGTGAGTTTGGTGTATCACACAAAGCTATACCAACTAAATTGTAGACATCAACTGTGAATGAACCTCTCAGTGACACGATTTTATTTCGAGGATCAATAAAAATCATAAATCAATAGGAATTTTCTTTTTGAATTCTTTTCGTTTCCCTCAAGAATTCGTTCGAATGTTCAGCATGTTCGTGTGGATTTCGTAGAAGCACATATATCAGTTGAAAAATTGCTATGAAATTTAAATAGACATAATGTGTATGATTATACAAATATTTTACATACAGCTTAGTAACAGCACAAAGAATGTCTTAGAACATCTCTCATATCGTTTCATATTTTTGAGCGTGTATGATGATTAAAAAAGAAGAAACTTCACATTTTAGAGACTTTAAAGCCTTAATAAAAAAATATGTTTCAGTGCGCAGTTTTTTTGGTTGTGGATTTGAACAAAAAGTTGCATTTGTTTTCAAATAATCATGAACAAATGAAAAAAAGCACAGGCGGACAAAAACATCAAATAAGCATAACTTACTGCTTTAAAAACTTTTTTTTTCATCATCATCAGCATCATCATATCTATACTTTATGAACGACGAATACAGTTATATCACATACATATAGATGCACAAGTACCAAAAACATTATCAAATAGATAACGATGATAAAGCGAACTCGATTGTCTGATTTAATCAAAAGTGACTGATTTTTATCGTTCGAGGGCCCCGACGAAAAAAAAATTATTCGTGAGTGACGCTTTAAAATCTTAAATATCTCCGAAACCACAATAGTGACAAATTTCAAAATTATTTTATCTTGTAGGAAACAAAAATTTCTATCTTTTGAAATACAACTTACTTCCTAAAGTTAAGCAGTTATGTCGGAAAATCACTTTAACTAAGCGTCACTCACGAATAATTTTTGGGAATTTTGCCAAAACTTTGTTCTCTTTTGTTTGGTTTCAAAAAAAGTAATAAATTGTCCCCGAAACATACTTAAATGAACAAAGTTAAGTTAAAAAATTTTTAACAGTTTTAAAGTTTTTGAATTTTTTCTGTCATGAGATGTTTGTTTACAAACAAAAATTGAAATGAAATTTAAAAAATCATGAAAATATCACTTAATAATGATTGTAAAGCTCTTAAAATAGCAGAATAGCTAATGTATCATTCAAGGGGAAAGAACTGTGAAATCTTCCCGCATTTAATCACATTTTACCGTGTTTAACCGTGTTTAACCACATTTAACCACATTTGTTAATTATATAGTCAACCATGTATTCTTTATATAAAAAAATCTATAAAGTAAATCAAACATTTGTAACGGATTTGTTATTTTTAAAAGAGTTTTAGTAAAGTGAAGACACCTTAATGATGTTTACCAATAAACAATTTTACTGGGGGTCCTCGATTTGAGTAGATTCTATTTGAGTAGATTCGATTTGAACAGAAAAATTTTTACCCACCAAAATATTCGATTTGAGTAGATTTCTTCCTGTTTTCTTCGATTTGAACTGTTTACAAAACAAATATTTTTGATAAAAACATTTCAGAAAATATTTTTAAAACATAAATTTTACTGCAATAAGCGTGAACTTATCATATTGATAGAAAAATCAATACTAAAGTTACAAAATTAAAGTAAAAATTTAAAAAATCGCTATAAAATTAAAAGTTCAAATTCAAAAACCTTACAAATTGTTCAGTGAATTAACATTTGCAAGGTTCTCATATTTTTGTTTTGTTTCAAAAACATATTTTTTGTGAATTTCTGTGTAAAAACAATATGAATATGCCTTGAAATAAATTAAGTTATCTAAAACACATAGGAAAAGTTAAGCAACGAGGTAAAATGTGCAAAAAATGATCAAAAATTTCATTGTTTTGATATATTTTTTGGACTCTGGAACAAAACATGTAATTTTGTATTGATTCTTTGCCTCGATTTGAATAGATTCGATTTGAGTAGAAATTTTTTGGAACAAAACAACTACTCAAATCGAGGACCCCCAGTATTGAAATTTTATTGGAAAATGTAAGAAACAATCAGCTGCATTACAAAGGCAACCGATTTAGCGATACCGTCAAGAAGATATCCTCTTACCTGTACATAAGAGGAGGAAAACCTTTATACAACTTTCTTCAAGCCAAAATGGTATTGCCTGAGCTAAGTGGTCTGAAAAGGTATATGAATGATGAGCTGAATATTGTCAAAGGAAACGTTTTAAGATTCGATGAATTGCACCAGTATCTAGCAGCACACGAATACCCGTTTGAAATACATGTTTTCGAAGATGGCTCACGTATTACAAGTAAAGTCGAATTTTGTCCAGATACTAATACACTCATTGGCTTAGATTCACCATTTGATCCTTTAACTGGATTGCCGTTCGTCAATTTTCACAAAGCTTACAGTGCCAGTAATATTTATAATTCCATCACAAAATATGACAAGGTGTCCTTTGTTCAAGTGTTGCTTGCACAGACAAATATTCCTGTTGCAAAGACGTTTCTTCTTGGACCATATTTCGAATAAACTTTTGGATAAACATCTTTCAGATCCAGTTGAAATTGCCAATGCATTTCAAAAGAAATTCACAGGCCCTAGCAGAACAGGACGTTCTTCAATAGTCTCCCATAAATACATTGGAAAATCAATAGACAAAACATTTTGCTTTGAGGAAATCTCTCCAGACACAATCGCACACCATATTGCCCTCCTAAACGAAAACAAGTCTTGTGGATATGACGGAATAAGTGCTAAAACTTTAAAATGCTGCATGGACGAAATTTCGCCTCATTTAGCAAACATATTCAATTTGATGGTTACCTCAGGAACTTATCCAGAAAGACTAAAGCAATCGTCTGTAACTCCAATACATAAAGGTGGCGATCCACTTGACTGCATCAATTACAGACCTATCAGTCTCCTTCCTCTCATAGACAAGATCTTTGAAGCGATTCTATACAATCAACTAACTAGATACCTAGAGAGTCGTAGAATATTCGATCCTCTACAATACGGCTTCAGGCAGGGTCGAGGATGTAACGAGGCAGTATGTATGATGTTGAGTCATATTAGTAATATAATAGAGAGTGGAAAAAATGCTTTGGTGATATCGCTAGATATATCCAAAGCCTTCGATTCAGTTGATCATAGAATATTGCTGAGGAAACTAAATTTTCTGGGGATAAGAGGTCTATCATACGATGTGATTTGCAGCTTTTTAACAAATAGAAAGCAAAGTGTAAAAATTGACCAGTCATTCAG